TGAGCTAGGGAGTGGTTGGATCTGACCTTTCAGAGCTTCAAGGTTGACCAGCCTTTTACATTCCCCTAACCCTGCACCTTTTTCCCTTCGGTAAATGCCAGCTGTCTTGGCACACAGGCAAAGTGTGCACCTGGTTTGCCATGTCTGCATGCCCTCTCTTTTTCCTGAATAAATTTATTTTGGTGATGAAAGGACTAGTTTTTTTTTTTGGTTTTTTTGTTTGTTTGTTTGTTTGTTTTTTTCCTTCTTCTTCCAGTTGATATTGTTAAAGAGAAAACCACAGGCCCAAAATGGCATTACTGTGCTATAAAACCCATGATACCAAACCTAGATTTAATACTTGACCTAATTGCTATTTCAGTCTTTTCCAGACACAAAATTTTAATCAACCAATCTGAAATTTTCTGCTCAGGCACCAAAGAGATAAGTCACATGGGCTTAATTCCCCAGAGAATAGAGAAGAGGCAGACTGCTTAATGAAAACCCTTCCGTTCTCTTCCCCCTAAAGATGTCCTGGTCTAAAAATAATCCTTTCTATTCTCTTGTTTTGTTTTTTAATATATTTTTATTGACTTCGGAGAGGAAGGAAGAGGGAGAGAGAGATAGAAACATCCATGATGAGAGAGAATCATGGATCAGCTGCCTGCTACGTTTCCCACTGCGGATCGAGCCCACAACCTGGGCCTGTGCCCTTGACGGGAATGGAACATGAGACCTTTCAGTTAACAGGCCGACACTCTATCCACTGAGCCAACCCTCTAATCCTCTGAGTTTAACCGGCTAGGGCTCTATTCTCTTGTTAATAATCACTATGCTCCACGCTTCTGCCTATAAAAGCCTTCCATTTGCACCATTTCTCCAGGCACCCTTCTGATGGCTAATTGGGATGCTGCCCTATTCATGAGCCACCTAATAGAGCCAACCGGTCTTCAAATGAACTCGGTTAAAGTTTGTATTTTAACCAGGCTTAACCAAGACTACCCAGGGTTTTGTTTGTTTTCATGTAAACTCCCTGGTTAATGAGAGGCAAGCTGGGCAGCGGGTCTATTCATGTTCCTTCTACCCTTCCCGTCTCAAAATTTTCTGTTTCAGTGTTATGTAATCTCTCTGCTCTGGGTGAAATTTTGTTCTTTTAATTTTGCATGGTTTTCAAGCATGTTAGCTTTCTGTTGCTGCAATAGCCAAGTCTCACACATGGAAGCTTAAAACAACCCATGTTTACTCCCTTTGGGTTCCGGAGTTCAGAAACCTGCAATCGGTTGTGAGGTCAAGGTGTTCTGCTGCAGGCTCTGAGGAGAATGTTTCCCTGCCTTTTCCAGTTTCGAGGGCCACCTGTGTTCCTGGCTCCTGGACCCTCCCTCCATTTTCAAAGCACATCACCCACCCTCTACTTCCATCACCACATGGCTCTTCCACTTCAACTCCTTCTGATAAGGGCTCCAGTGACTACTTCCCCCCAACCTCCAGACAACCCAGGGTCATCCCTCCATCTTAAACTTCTTCTTTTTTTTTTTTTTTTCTTTTTTAAAATATATTTTTATTGATTTTTTACAGAGAGGAAGAGAGAGAGATAGAGAGTTAGAAACATCAATGAGAGAGAATCATCGATCAGCTGCCTCTTGCACACCCCCAACCGGGGATGTGCCCGTAACCGATGTACATGCCCTTGACCAGAATCGAACCTGGGAGCTTTCAGTCCGCAGACCGACACTCTACCACTGAGCCAAACCAGTTTCGGCAATAAAGAAATTAATTTAAAAAATAAAATGGGACGAATTCTCTCCTTTCCACATCAGGCACGCCTTGCTGATGACCATGGCGCTCCTGACGGTCAAGTCCACTGTCTTCCTCTCATTCTGTGGGAACAGTGCTGGCCAAAAGCCAAAACTCGCCGTCCATCATCTTCTTGGATATCTTTCTATTAATATACTCTCCCTGCAGGAAAAAAGGAGAGCACCGTTGGTTATATTGAACTCTTTCTTTTAAGCGTGCAATATGTTGGGATAAAACAGTATTCTGCTCCCCTTCATTTGATCTGGTGGTTCCCACAGCTCCTTTGCCAGGCATTTACCTTCTCTCAGGATGGGTTACTTTCTCAGGTGGTTAACTTTATCCATTATTCATTGTTTTTTTTGTTGTTTTTTTTAGTTGCACAGTCAGAGTCACCTTGTCAAGTTCAAAACATACGTTACTGAGTTGCTTCAGGTGCCAGACAAGAGACTAGACTCTAGCCATTCTCATTGTGGTTCACTGTCGTTGCCATAGTGATAATGAGACCAACACTGTGAAAGGAGCGGCTTTGGTGCGTTAATCTACAGGGTTTATACAGGTTTATAGTCTTCCTGATACTTATCACAGCCAGAATGAGAAAACATGCTCACCACGGATACATCTGATAAGGGGTTCATCTGAAAAATTAATAAACAACTCAAGCAATACTAACGTAACAAACAATCCAACTAAAAAATGGGCAACATGCCCTGACTGGTTTGGCTCAGTGGATAGAGCGTGGGCCTGTGGACTGAAAGGTCCCAGGTTCGATTCCGGTCAAGGTTATGTACGTAATTGCCAGCACATCTCAGCGGCTGATTGATGCTTCTCTCTCATCGATGTTTTTGCCTCCCTGTCCCTCTCCCTTCCTCTCTGTAAAAAAAATCAATAAAATATATTTTTAAAAATGGGCAATAGACCTGAATAGACACTTCTTCAAAGAGGACATGAAGGTGGCTAATAGACATAGGAAAAGATGCTCAATGTCCCTACTCATCAGAGAGATGCAAATTAAAACCACATTGAGCTATCCCCTCACACCTGCCAGAATGATTACTATCAACAAATCAACAGAGCACTGGCGAGGATGTGGAGAACAGGGAACTCTCGTGCACTCTTTTTTTTTTTTTTTTTAAATATTTTATTTTATTTTATTATTATTTTAAAATATATTTTATTGATTTTTTTTTACAGAGAGGAAGGAAAGGGACAGAGAGTTAGAAACATCAACGAGAGAAGCATCCATCAGCTGCCTCTTGCACACTCCCTACTGGGAATGTGCTCGCAACCAAGGTACACGCCATTGACTGGAATTGAACCCGAGACCCTTCAGTCTACAGGCCAATGTTCTATCCAGTGAGCCAAATCGGTCAGGGCCCCGTACACTCTTGGTGGGAATGCAGATGGTGCAGCCACTGTGGAAACGGTGTGGTCTTTCCTCACTGTTTAGGATATGTTCTCAGACTTTCCAGTCTTGCAGTTCATCACATCTATAGGCCTCGGTCAATGTCATTGTTTCCTCCACGTGGCTACTTCTTCAGTTCTGAAGGTCAGGTGAAGAACAGTTCGCAGGCAGATTAAGTTTTGCTTATCTCCATATCCTGCAGCCTTTCAATGTGGCTGTCTTCAAGGAGAACCGAAGTGCCAGTCAGAGACAACCTTGCTGGAAGCCTGCCTGTTCCCCTCAACTGTGCTGGCCTGGGGGTGGGGAGTTCTTTTTCTCCCTCTCAAGCACTTCCACACATCCCTATTTATAGTCCTGAGGCTATGCTTTCAATGTTGTTATCTTTCTGTCTGAGGAAAGGCTTCTGTCTCCCGCATCATCACCTCCCCTGGCACATAGTAGATGCTCAATTAATTGATTTTTGAAAGAAATCTTTACAACGCGGGAAGCACTATTAGAGGCTTACAAAGCTGCACCTCTGATCTTAAAGGAGGTCGGGACACAAACATTCATTTACCTGTTACCCCAGGCACTGGGAGATAACGTGAAAATAATGCTGTGGACATTGAAGGAGAACATTTCTTTTTCTTTTTTAAAAAAATATTTTATTGATTTTTTTACAGAGAGGAAGGGAGAGGGATAAAGAGCTGGAAACATTGATGAGAGAGAAACATCAACCAGCTGTTTGGGGATGTGCCCACAACCAAGGTACATACCCTTGACCAGAATCAAACCTGGGATCCTTGAGTCCGCAGGCCGATGCTCTGTCCTCTGAGCCAAACCAGTTAGGCCGTGTTCTGCAAACTGCGGCTCTCGGGCATGCGGCTCTTGGGCCCCCTGAGTGTGTGTGGCTCTTCCACAAAACACCACGGCCTGGGCGAGTGTACGTTGAAGTGGTGTTAGAAGAATTTTTAAGTTTAAAAAATGTGGCTCTCAAAAAAAATGTTGAATGGTTGTACTGTTGATATTTGGCTCTGTGGACTAATGAGTTTGCCGACCACTGGGTTAAGGCAAAATTCATCAGTTTTATGTGTATGACGTTTTACAGAGTTTTGGTCTTTTTTTTTAATTTAAAAAATATTTTTAATTGGTTTCAGAGAGGGAGGGAGGAGAGATAGGAACATCAATGATGAGAATCATAGATCAGCTTCCTCCTGCAAGACCCCCACTGAGGAGTGAGCCAGCAGCCCGGGCAAGGGCCCTGATGGTGAATAGAACGGTGACCTCCTGGTTCATGGATGCCCAGCCCCCTTCAGCATCCAGCACAGTGCATTGCATAGAATAGGCGTGTCTTCTATAAATGCGGTGCAGGAATTCATGAATGAGTCCTTCGGAGGAAAGAAGCGAAGACAAAGAAAGCATCGCTCTGACGGTGAGAACGGGTCTTTCTTTCTCCCTTTATTGCAGATACAAATCGGCCCAGTCAGCATAAACTGTGCTTCTACTGGTGTATATGGTGTATATATATATGCTCGCCAGGTGCAGGGAAGGGTTTTTGGCTGAGATTGAGAAATTCAATCCCTGCGAATAATGAGGTGGGAGGGGAACCGAAGGCTCGGAGCCTGGAGGAGGAGGAGAAGAAGGAGGAGGAGGAGGCGGAGCCGCCGGGAGTTGGAGCGTGTCTGTCCAATCGCAGGAGCCAGCCGGAGCCGGAGGGGGAGACAAGGGGGGAGCGGGAGATCGCGAATCCTGCCCAGTTACACAGGCCCGGCCTCCCGAGCGCGCTCCGAGGCGCTTCTGGTCCCGGGAGAGAGAGCGCGCGCTGGATCCCAGGCCGGCCCCAGCCATGGCCTTCGCAAACCTGCAGAAAGTGCTCATCAGTGACAGCCTGGACCCTTGCTGCCGGAAGATCCTGCAAGATGGAGGGCTGCAGGTGGTGGAGAAGCAGAACCTGAGCCAAGAGGAGCTGATCGCCGAGCTGCAGGTAACGCGAGGAGCGGGGGAGAAAGACAAGAGCGGCCGGTGGCATCCTCCTCGGAAACCGGCTGGCCACGCCCGGGCCGGCGCGCCCCACCCCATCCCACCCCACCCCCACCCCGGCCCCGGGTGTCGGTGGGTCCTGGGGCCTCCAGATGAAAGGGTTTGGGGCGCTCGGGGGGTGGGGGGGTGGGGGGGGGAGGGGACAGAAGGGAGGAACACGCGGCGGTGAGCTGCTGGATGTAAACTTTCCGCTCAGTTTGCAAACTGCGCGCGTATCTCCTTGGCTTTGCCCACCCCCGCGAGCCATGCGCCCAGCCATGCGCCGTGCAGGGTCCCGGCGGGATGGATGCCAGCGCGGCCCCCCGCGCCTGGGCGCCCCGGGGGAGGCGGCCAAAGGGGCTCCCCTGCGCCGCCGGGACCGGCGATCCCCCCCGAACGGAGCCCGGGGTCCCCCTGGCCCTGGCCCGGCCGGGTCGTGCCTTCCCCGGGGTCCGCTGGCCGGCTCCCAGCCTGTCTCGTGGCAGCTGCTGCACGGCCACCAGTGTGCCCGCCTCCCTCCGTCTGACGCAAGAGTGCCGGCAGCTTTCACCGCCCCTCGGCCGCCCGGGAGCCCGGAGGAACCGGGGGCGGGGGGCGCCCGAGAGCCTGCGCCGCCCACGCGGCCGGGGTCCAGGCAGCTCCGGCCCCGCACGTGGCCCCGGGCGGGCGGGGGGGCGGCCTCCCTGGGGCCTCCTCGCTGGTCCGGAACGACCGGGCCGGATGGGGATCGCCCCCAGGCGCCCCCCAGCAATTGCTGTTTCTTAGCCAGCCCTTCTCGGTGTATAATGGGCACAGTCGATTCCACATCTTTTTTTTTTTAAATCTATTTTTTTAAATTTATCTATCTATCTATCTATCTATCGACTCCACATCTTTTTTAAAAAATCTATTTTTAATTTATCTATCTTATCTATATCTATTTATTTATTTTCCCCTGATTTATTGATTTTTTACAGAGAGGAAGAGAGAGGGATAGAGAGTTAGAAACATCGATGAAAGAGAGACATCCATCAGCTGCCTCTTGCACATCCCCCACCAGGGATGTACCCGCAACCAAGGTACATGCCCTCAACCGGAATCGAACCCGGGACCCTTCAGTCCACCAGCCGACGCTCTATCCATTGAGCCAAACCGGTTTGGGCCGACTCCACATCTTGATCTCCCTTGGCTGTAAGGGTCCTCCTTCCTGGGAGGGTGGGTGGCCTCGTCCGGTGGTGGGTGTCATTGATTTTGGGAACTCTTCACGCCAGCTCCTGTACCCGGCAGCACCCGGCTACCTACCCTCCCCCCCTCCCGGAGGGTAGCCTCCGACCCACTCTCTGCCCGCCTCTGCGGGGACCCTCCCCCTCCGGCCTCGCTCCCCCCGGGGTCCTGACACCCACACCGCCGGCGGCCACCGCGTGGTCCGCGCCGCTGCCTGGGCGGTGGGCTCTGCGGCCGTGTTTCTCCGTGGACTCCCCGCCCCCCACGAGCGGTGTCCGGGTGCCCACACCCCTTCCCGGACTCAGGGAAGTTTCCCATCGGCCGGTGCCTCCAGGGAGCTTATCAGCTGCTGAGACGACCCGGTCCAACGACGCCAGAGGATGGTGGTGCATGAGAGCCTCGCACCTGGCCTCCGCCCAGGCCGCTTGCAGGAGTGGGGAGAGGGGCTGATCGGCCTGGATTTGGGGGAGGGGAGGAGGGGCGGGGGGAGAAAGGGGAGGGGGTAGTGCAAGGGCTCAGGACCTAATCCCAGGAGCAGGGTGGGTAGGTCCAGATGGGAGGCAGGCGCCTCACACGCACCACCTCTGACTCTTTTGTATGAATGGTGCCAATGACCTTGGCTCTGGGCAGTGGCCAGAAGGCAGTGGGGTGGCCTCTAGCCCAGCTCCAGACCCACCAGGCCACTGGAATGGGGAGCGTGGCCTGTTCTTGGGGCTTGGTAGCTTTCTTATGGAAATCGGAGATCCTATACCCCGGGGAGGAGAGAGGGGGCGGAGAGAGGGGGCCGGACCGGAGGAGAGGAGGGTGGGAAGCTAGCCAGGTGGGAGCTAGGAGTCTGGCGCTGAAATCTGGAGGCCCTTTTCAAGGCGCTGGGAACTGGCAGGGCGGGAGGGGTGTTTCTTGGCTGGACTGCCAGGCCTCCTGGGGCTGTTTGGGAGCGCCAGCCTGCCTGCCTGCTTCTGGAGCATTCAGTGGGGAGTGGGGGGCGGGGCGGTATCTCCTTGGCAGCTGACAGGACGGTGCCCTCTCCTCTCCTTTCCACTCTGTGCTCTTATTCTTTGTTAGTGCCCCTCTCCCCCAGTTCCATCCTTACAGAATGGAAGGAAACTCCCACACATCACCCGAGCCAGGCCGGGCCTCTGTCCCCACTCCTTCGCATTCTGGGCAGGCACAGGCTGCCCTCGCTCACTCCCCCAGAACCGTCCTGTGCAGACTTGAAGCAAGTCACAGCTAGTCCATGGCTGGGTAAGGAAGTCGCTTTCATGGGTCATAATTAGCATTTGAAAAAAACACTCACAAAATAAGAACTATGCAGAGAGGAAGGCTGAATTTGTTTCAGCTATGTGTGCAGTTGTGGGGTGTGTGTGGGATAATGTGAGTTTAAAATCACAACTTAATCATGTGTTTCTTAACTGTGGGTCTTAGTGAAAAAAAAAATGTTTAGAAAACCGGCTTGGAATAACAAAGCATCTGTTTTTGGAACTCACAAAACTCAAGGCTGTGTACCCCTCCTCTCGGCTGGTGCCACTTCTTTGTTGTTGTTGTTTAAATGTGTTTTTATTGATTTCAGAGAGGAAGGGAGAGGGAGTGAGAAATAGAAACATCAGTGATGAGAGAGAATCCTTGATTGACTGCCTCCTGCACGCCCCACACTGGGGATGGAGCCTGCACCCCGGACATGTGCCCTGACTGTGAATTGAATCTCAACCTCCTGGTTCATGGGTGAGCGCTCAACCACTGAGCTACACTGCCTGGCTGGTGCCACTTCTTTTTTTTTTTTTTTTTTTTTTAATATATTTTATTGATTTTACACAGAGAGGAATTGAGAGGGACAGAGAGTTAGAAACATCGATGAGAGAGAAACACCGACCAGCTGCCCTCCTGCACACCCCCTACTGGGGATATGCCCGCAACCAAGATACGTGCCCTTGACCGGAATCGAACCCGGGACCTTTCAGTCTGCAGGCCGACGCTCTATCCACTGAGCCAAACCGATCCCGGCTGGTGCCACTTCTTAAATCACATATGCAGGAACATTGAAATCTTCCCACGGATCAGTGGCTTTTAAACGTTGGCCATGACCCACAATCAGAAAGTAATTTCCCGTCACCACTCCGTCTACATATATGGACACACATGTACTAAGTTTCATGAAAGAACACGCATACCGTAGGTGATGCATTTACGTATTTTCTTATTTCATAAAACAGCAGTGCTGGTCAGAATCTATTAGCCCGCAGGCCGGTAATGCATTTATACCTTTAGCTCATAATTGTAAGAAAGATAAAGAAGGAATTCAGTGTTTTGTCCCTTACATTTTTCTACTGCTATTCATTGCATAGATCTTCCTTTCCCCAGCAGTTTGAAATCTGCCTTTATTATTATTTTTAAAAATATATTTTTATTGATCCCTTACAGAGAGGAAGGGAGAGGGATAGAGAGTTAGAAACATCGATGAGAGAGAAACATTGACCAGCTGCCTCCTGCACACCTCCCGCTGGGGATGTGCCTGCAACCAAGGTACATGCCACCCTTGACCCGAAATTGAACCTGGGACCCTTTCAGCCCCCAGGCCGATGCTCTATCCAGTGAGCCAAACCGGCTAGGGCTGCCTTTATTATTCTGTAAATCCCCACACATACGTGGGTCTGTCCAGTGACTTTGGCTCTGTTGATGGATATGGCAATTTCTGAATCTTTCTCCCCTCTGCCTCCCAACTTGCTCTCCCTTTTCAGAAAACTGTTCAGTGCTCATGCAAGTCAATCTTAAGACTCTTATCACACTCAAGAGAAGGGATTTCTGACGCTGGATTTCCAATCACGTGACCCTATCAAATATTTGGGGAAGGAGAGTGGGGGTGGGGAGAAGGGTGGAGGGTAGGCTTAATCACTGGGCTCATGTATTCAGCGACGTCTTTTATGGAGTATCAGCTGTTAAAATAAGCTTTGCTTTTGGGACGTCTGAGAAAAGCAAACTGCCGGTCAGAGAGAGGACGTTGACGAGAAGACGTGAAGCAGAGGATAAAACGGGGGAGGGTCTGTGATGGCATCCGGGGTTGTTGGCAAAGGGCTCTTGCCTGCCTGGCAGAGTGGGTGGCGTGTGGCCAGAGAGGGGGATCCTTTTCTGTGCAGGCCAGTGCGTGGACTTGGATATGGGGCAGACACCGTGTCCCCTTTCCGGCCAGGCATTGGTTGATGTCCAACTAGGAGGAATTCCGAGCACCAGGCGTTGGCCCGCAGCCCAGACTGGGTGGCTCCTGTCTGTCGCCTTAACCTTTGCATGCCTTGGACACACCGAGGTCACACCATGCATGTGCGGTGGTGAGCTCTGGCGTGTGGTGGCCTCGAGCTACTTGGGTGGGGCTGTGACTGGTGTTGACAGGTGTAGCGTAATTCCCGATGTACACAGCAGACACCCCGGAGATGGAAAGCAGAAATGAGGAGGCGGGGGCGTGGGCAGTCCTCATTTGGGGGGGGGTAGGGAGGAAGCTTCATTTTCTCATCTGTGAAATGGGGTGAGACTTTCATGCTTCTTGGGAAATGCTTCTTTGAATGTCCCATTGTGAGGTGTTCTTTCAGAACCACGGATAATGAAGTCACAGATAATAAAAGGGCTTGGGGAGCCCATGAGGGGTCTTGCATCAGGCTCTCTGCCGTCTCCTGAAACACCGGGGAAGCCTCCAGATCTAGAGACTGGGCTGCGGGTAAACTTGAACCCCCACCTCGCCCATGCCCCCACCTCCGGCCGTGGAGGACCGTGGGGCTCTGCTCTCTGTGGACCTTGACTGACTTGTTCCTAGGCTCTGGGCTGGTGCACAGTATTTCAGCGGGGCCCTCGCCCTTGGAGCCAGGTGCCCGCTGGCTCTTCTTTCCCCAGAATCCATGTGGTGGGAAGGGAGGAAAGAAAGTTCTCGTGGGATCCAGCTGAGAGCTCCGCTGAGGAAAAGGCAGAGACTCCCACTCATGGGAGTCTGAGCAGATGAGCAGATGCGGGAGGGCCCTGGGGCCATCGGTTCTAACCCTCTTAACCCAGACGGAGACCAGGGCCGGGGCCCAGCCTCCCGACCACTCCCATGCTCGTTGCTTCCCCACCCACCTGGGGGTGGGCCGGGTGCTTGTTCACCTGCTCTATTGCCTGGGGATGCTCATTGGGTGTTTGGGCAACAATATCCTTGTGGTGGGGAGATGAGCTGGGAAGACCGTCGTGGGGTCCAGCGTAGCGAGTGGCCATGTAAAGTGGCTTAGGAGGACTAGAAGGTCTTGGTGTTCACATGTGTGATTTGACTCTAACCTTGCCTGGGTGTCTGAGCCATTTTGGACCCGTTTCATCGATCTCTCCTTCCCCCTTGCTTTGGCCTCTGTTTCTAGGAGATGTTTCCCTTTCAGCGGTTTTGTTTTTTCTTCATTCACTTCACTTTTTCATTCAGCCGACCACCATTTGTTTATGGAGTGCCTTCCATGGGCCAGCCTAAGGTAAGGTGACCAGACATCCCGCTTTTGGCAGGACAGTCCCAATTCTTTTATATATATATATATATTATTGATTTTGTACAGAGAGGAAGGGAAAGAGATACAGAGTTAGAAACATCGATGAGAGAGAGTCATCGATCAGCTGCCTCTTGCACACCCCCTACTGGGGATGTGCCGGTAACCAAGGTACATGCCCTTGACCGGAATCGAACCCGGGACCCTTCAGTCCCTAAGCCGACGCTCTATCCGTTGAGCCCAACCGGTTTTGGCCAGTCCCGATACTTAACAATGTGTCCCACGAAATTGGGACTTTTTTTTTAAACGCCGCAGGACACATTGTTAAAAATCAGGACGTCTGGTCACCTTAGCGGCTTCCCAGGGTCAGTGGAGGCAGGGACGTCCCTTTGTTACCAGGCAGGGGGGCTTGACTTCGTGCAGGAAAAAATTCACGAGTCCGGGTGAACGTTCGAGGACCTTTATTAAAGGGGGGCGGGGGCCAGGAAACAAGGAAAGGCTGGGAGATGAGCCTTGCGGTCTGCTTTGGCTCACCAACAAGTCAGAGGGGAGGCAGCCAACCGCTGCCCGTGCTGCCTGGTTGCAAGCCTCGGGGGGTCCCTCAGAGTCGAGGAGCTGCCCACCTGTGGGAAAGCAGCGGGAGGCACAGGCCTGTTCCTGCGAGGGAGGGAGACCTTGAGCTGGATCTTCCTTTTTTTTTAAAAAAAATATATGTATATTTTATTGAGTTTTTACAGAGAGGAAGGGAGAGGGATAGAGAGTTAGAAACATGGATGAGAGAGAAACATGGATCAGCGGCCTCTTGCACACCCCCTTTCGGGGATGTGCCTGCAACCAAGGTATATGCCTTTGACCTTTCAGTCTGCAGGCCGACGCTCTATCCACTGAGCCAAACCGGTTTCGGCTGGATCTTCCTTTTGAGGGTTTTTCAGGCTGGGCCTTGAGGTGAGGTCTCAGGGAAGGATCTCAATAGAATATTCAGCGTTACGCTGACATGCCAAAATGGAATTTATTCTCTTATCTGTCTGTCCTTGGGTGTGGCTGGCCAGTGGCACTCATTGGATTTCTGCCGCCCATTTACCCTCGGGCCCGGGAGGAGGAATGCAAACCATTTACTTTTAAGTGTTTTTGGTTTAGGGGAGATAAGGATTGACTCTAGATGGCTGAAAACTACCGGCCTCTGTTTCCCTCTTCCGCTTGTCCTGGCTTTCCTGGTAGCAGGGCCAGCTACCGCACCCGGCGCTGCCCCCGGCCTGTCCCGTGGCCTCCTCTCTCTCAGTGGACGCTGAAGCTCGGATTCAAAGCTCACCAGGGATGATGAGGGGAGCGTCTCGGATGGGTAAACGATGCCCCACGCAACTGCCTCCTTTTCCTCGAGGATATCCAGTCAGCCAGCATGGGGGAGCTGCCCCAGTGGGCAAGGAGCTATAGGGGGTCTTCCAGACCAGCTCCGTGGTCCCAGACACTTTTCTTTCTTTTTAATATATATTTTTATTGATTTTTTACAGAGAGGAAGGGAGAGAAATAGAGAGAGAAACATCGACCAGTTGCCTCTTGCACACCCCCTACTGGGGATTTGCCTGCAACCAAGGTACATGCCCTTGACCGGAATCGAACCCGGGACCTCTCAGTCCGCAGACCGACCCTCTACCACTGAGCCAAACCGGTTTCCGCACAGACACTTTTCTTCTCCCGCCTCAGGACTGCGAAGGCCTGATCGTGCGCTCGGCCACCAAGGTGACCGCCGATGTCATCAACGCCGCGGAGAAGCTCCAGGTGGTGGGCAGGGCCGGCACCGGCGTGGACAACGTGGACCTGGAGGCCGCCACGAGGAAGGGCATCCTGGTCATGAAGTGAGTCGTGGGGGCGGGGGCGGGGGCGGGGGGCGGGGCTGGATCTCGAGGAGGGAGGGAGAGGTCTGCCTTAAGCAAAGCCAGGTCCCAGGTCGGAGCTGAGGACTTCCAGGAGGAGCTGAGTCCAGGCGGTGGCCAGTGCTCAAGCTTAGTGGCTTGCCATTGAGCTTGTCTTTGCAAACTCCATGCTTCCCAAACCCACCCTCCCCCAGGTGTCTGCGGGTCTGCAGCCTGGTGTGGGAGTCAGAAGGGAGTTAGTGGATTTTATCTGTCCTCCCCCTCCAGCTCTGCCCTTCCCCCTCCATGGTGCCGTCTGGAGCTGGCATTGTCAGCTCTGCTCTTATCTGGACGCACATCCACCACCTCAGCGACCTGAGGGACCCCAGTCTTTGTCTTCCTCACTTCCCCGGGCCCCTCTGCAGCCAGGGCCTCTGTTTCCCTTTCACACCCCAGGGCCAGTAGGAAAAGGGTCCCCATTGGAGCTGGTTTTTGCAGAAACCTGGGGGAAAGGTCATGCAAGGTCCGTGTCAGCATGCGTGTGCAAGGGGACACTCACCTCTGGCTCCCGCCTGGCGTGTGGTGAGGCAAGACTATCTTTGGTCCACGGCTCTGTCCCTTGGAGTCCTTTTCCCTTGGGGACCTCATGCCCTCAAGCCCTTTCCCTCCACTCTCCCCTCTAGGGTAGGGGTGAACTGACCGGTCATCTGGCTAGGGTGGGCGATATCCCAACAGTAGAAATGTTAAATGTAACCCATCTGACATGGCTGCCCTGGACCCAGAAGCAGCAGCCTCTGGCCCCCAGCCTCTCTCCCAGCGTCCCCATACAGCCTGTTCCCTGGGCGGCCAGGGAGCCAGGTGCAAAGACAGACTCTGAGCAACCTTTATTATTTACCAGAGGCCCAGTGCATGAAATCTGTGCACTGGTGTGTGTTGGGGGGTCTTTCAGCCAGGCCTGTGTCCTCTTGCAGTCTGGGAGCCTTCGGGGGATGCCCAGACTGATGGCTTAGCACTGCTTCAAAAGCAGGAGAGGCTCCCACCACTTGCCACCCCACTGTGCTGGCTAGCCATGAGCCCAGCCTCTGGCTGAGTGTGCTCCCCCTGTGTTGAGCGTCTGCCCCCTGGTAGTCAGTGCTTGTCATAGCAACAGGTCAATTTGCATATTAGCCTTTTATTATATAGGATTTAAGATATAGGCCGGCCACAGTGGGTGCGATTCTATTGGTCGGGGGCCCACCATCGCCCCACGATTGTCCCGCAGACCGAGGCCCAGGCCAGCCAAGCGATCACACCCCACGTGGCCTGTTGCCCGCAGCAGAGGGAGGCAACCGGTGACGGGGAGTTGGGGGGCAGTGCTGCACGGATGGCGAACAGTGGCAGTGGTGGGGGTGGGGCCGGCTGCTGGGAGAGCGGGGAGGAAAGCCCCGATAGGCTCTGATCACTGGCCAGGCTTAGAGGCCCTATACCAGAGGGGTCCCGGATTGCAATAGGGCTCAGGCCCCGCTGAGGGATACCAATGCCCCCAAACCCTGCATGAATTTTGTGCATGGGGCCTCTAGTATATATATGTGTTTATATATATATCACTTTGTTACGAATGAAAACCAAGTTGGGCACCTTGGGGAAGGTCAGTGGGCAATGGACTGACATTCGCATTTGATAGATATGTCACCCATCGAGGCACAGCCTCCATCAGGTTGATGGCATGAGCCTCGGGCAAGTAGATTCAGAAATGAGAGGAACCACAAGGGCTAGCCAGGCCAGGGAGACACTTCCCGGGCTCCCGGGAGGAGTGAGTTTGGGGAGCGGGGCCAGGTGTGCTCCTGTGCTGGAGGTCCCAGCCCCGGGAGGTGGGCTGGAGCAATCACAGGAACCGGGGGGCGGAGGCTGGGACAAGCGCCTGGAGCAGAGAGCAGGTGCAGTGTGCCCTCAGGCCTTCTGTGGGGACAGGAGTGAGAGTCCCGGGCCTGGGCCCTCTGATGTCCTTCTTTCCTTTGCCCTCAGCACCCCCAACGGGAACAGCCTCAGTGCTGCGGAGCTCACCTGCGGGATGATCATGTGTCTGGCCAGGTAAGTCGCCAGAAACTTAGTAGCTGCAGCTCGGCAGCGTGCAGGTTGCCAGGAACCTTCGAGGCGGCCGGTCCCCGGGGACCATTCAGTCCCCTGGCTCTGTCCCCTCACCAAGGTCAGGTCCCCAGTGCTGGCCAATGGGGAGGGGCCGTTACCTGGTGCTGCCTGTCACCTGGGAGCAGGGTCGTGGAGGGAGGGATTGTGTGTGATCTTACATTTCTCCTTCCTCGCTTCCCACTCTCCCCATCCATCTGGCAGTCGGTTTTCACACACTAACTTCTTTTTTTTTTTTTTTTAATTTAATATATTTTATTGATTTTTTTTACAGAGAGGAAGAGAGAGGGATAGTTAGAAACATGGATGAGAGAGAACCATCAATCAGCTGCCTCCTGCACACCTCCCACTAGGGATGTGCCCGAAACCCAGGTACTATGCCCTTGACCGGAATCGAACCCGGGACCTTTGAGTCGGTAGGCCGATGTTCTATCCACTGAGCCAAACCGGTTTTGGCTCACACACTAACTTCTAACCTCTAACCTCCACGCTTTGCAAATGCTCTTCCTGCTGCCCGGAGCACCCTTCCCCACCAACTTCGTCTAGGTCCGTGGTAGGCAAACTGCGGCTCGCGAGCCACATGCGGCTCTTTGGCCCCTTGAGTGTGGCTCCTCCACAAAAGACCATGGCCTGGGTCAGTCTATGTTGAAGAAGGGGCGTTAGAAGAAGTTTACGTTTAAAAAATGTGGCTCTCCAAAGAAATGTCCATCGTTGTCCTGTTGATATTTGGCTGTGTGGACGAATGAGTTTGCCGATCACTTGTTTAAAGGATGCCCCTACCACCTCATCCCAGTCCCTCACCCACAACCTCACACATCCAAGATGTGTCCAAACTGAGAAGTGAGTGCCCGTTAGGAAGGCATTCCCGTCTCATAACCTGTGTTTGGTCGCTGCTTCCCTGGCAGGGCAGCCCGAGGCCCGGTGGGCGCTGTGGACGGGACCGGTGAGAGCATCGGACCCTGTGGGTGCAGAGGCCTGAATGGGCCTCACAGTGGGGGGCTTTGGAGAGATGACAGGAGCGAAGGGGCATCTAAACATTTCCTATAAGAGTGTCTAAAACAGAAGATGCTCCTTAAACATTCTAAACATTGTGGTTTTTGTAAAATATATTTTTATTGATTTTAGAGAGGAGGGGACAGGGAGAGAGAGAAGCATCCATGATGAGAGAGAATCATTGATCGGCTGCCTCCTGCACTGGGGATCGAGCCCGCAACCCCAGGCATGTGCCCTTGGTTGGAATCGAACCTGGGACCCTTCAGGAGAGCAATGGTGACATGGAAAGAAGGAGGAGACTGCAGCCAGTGCACATCTCCCCGTCTTGCCCGCTTTACCTTCTTTTCTGAGTCAGACCCCTTTTGAGGCCCCGAGACCGGCCTGGTGAGGACCGAATCTGGGAGGCTCTGGCCAACTGGCACAGCAGCGAGAGGGAGGGTCTGGGGATTTTTTGTGCCCGTGGTGCCATCTCATACATCTTAGCACCTACACCTCAGCACCATGGAGTCGGGAGGGCAGAGATCAGGAGGTGAGGAAGCTGAGAGGAGGCAGGTAGGGGAGTGAGGGTTGGGGCTCCGTCTCACCAAATGAGGCATTTTTTTTAGGCTTTGCTGAGACTGAGAGCACTTTCCCATTTTTGCACTTTCACACCATCGAACTATCCTGTTTTCCCAAAAATAAGACAGTGTCTTATATTAATTTTTGCTCCAAAAGATGCGCTAGGTCTTATTTTCAGGGGATGTCTTATTTTTCCATGAAAAAGAATACGGTACACATTTATTGTTAAATGAAAATAAAGGAAATTTATTACCTGTATACAGTACGGTAGTACGGTAGTTGTCAACACAAACCAGACAAACTGTGAATCCTACAGTATCAAGAATTTATTCAATGACAATCATGTCATCATCTGTAACATCATCATAACAATCCAATTCCTGAATTTCCTGGTGAATTTCTTGTGACTCCATTTCTTTCAGAATCAGTGGACCAAATCTCTCATGTTTAGCCTACGGGGGCCTTATTTTTGGGGGATGCCTTATATTTCACTCAGAAGGAAACCTGTAAGTAGGTCTTATTTTCGGGGAAACATGGTAGATGCGATGGTGTGACGAGCCGAAGCAGGGAGATGGAGATTTTCCCCTGAAGCGAGTTCCTTAGGCTTGGCTGAGTTTACCCACAAGTCCACGGGGCTCCCAGTGGAGAACAGCCTTCCAGCAGGTGGAAGTCCTTAATGGGTAGACAGGAAAGAGCTTTTTTTTTTTTTTTTTTTTTTAAATGTATTTTATTGATTTTTTACAGAGAGGAAGGGAAAAGAATAGAGAGTTAGAAAGATGGATCAGCTGCCTCCTGCACACCCCCCACTGGGGATGTGCCTGCAACCAAGGTACATGCCCTTGACCAGAATTGAACTTGGGACCCCTCAGTCCATAGGCCGACGCCCTATCCACTGAGCCAAACCAGTTTAGGCAGGGAAGAGCTTTTTGTAAACAAGTCAGTGAAGTAGAAACACAGGAACAATATTGTGGAATCTCTGTGCACCTACCCACCCACCCACAGACCATTGGACGCCGTGGCCAGCAGGAAAGCCTGCCTTTCATACTTGGGAGGCTGCCTGCTGGGAGGCCTTCCTTGGCTTTGAGTCAGTTCAGCCGCCTCCAGGGCGGAGCTGGGCGGGGTGTTTAACCCCCAGAGCCCACACTGCAATTGGGAGCGTTCAATGAGCTAATGGGCGTCTAAACATTTCTTATAAGAGTGTCTAAAACAGAAGATGCTCCTTAAACATTCTAAACATTGTGGTTTTTGTAAAATATATTTTTATTGATTTCAGAGAGGAAGGGACAGGGAGAGAGAGAGAAACATCCATGATGAGAGAGAATCATTGATCGGCTGCCTCCTGCACGCCCCCTACTGGGGTTTGAGCCTCCAACCCCAGGCATGTGCCCTTGGCTGGAATCGAACCTGGGACCCTTCAGTCTGCAGGCTGACAGCTCTATCCACCGAGCCAAACTGGCTAGGGCTACATATTGCTTCTTGTCCTGAATGGCCTTGTCCCACAGGATATATCTCCCCTGTGACCTCTAATGTCGCCCTAACTTCCTTTGTCTGCTCCAGAAAACACATGGAGACTAGACTTCATGTTAACCATAAAGTGCAGAGAGGCTGTGTGGTGTGTAGTGTGCTTGAGTGCTTGCCTGAGGTGGTGGGTCAGGAGGTGGAGAAGTTAGACGTGTGTGGACAGTGGCACCCACCCACCCAAATCTAGCCTGAGGCCTTTGGGGTTTAAATTTCCAAGGATGAAAAAAAAAAAATCAACCTGGGACCTTTCGGACCACAGGCCGACGCTCTATCCACCGAGCCAAACCAGCTAGGGCTTTCCATTAATTTTTAGAGAGAGTAGAAGGGAGGGGGAGAGACAGAGAGAGAAACACTGACGATGTGAGAGAGACACATCCATTCATTGCCTCCCGATTGTTTCCCCGACCAGGGCCGGAGATCAAGCCTGCAACCTAGGTACATGCCCTTGACCGGAATCAAAGCTGGCACCCTTCATTCCGCGGGCCAACGCTCTATCCATTGAGCTAAACTGGCAAGATCCCAAGTCGGGCCTTGCCAAGGGTCCCCCTGTGCTGCACAACCTCGACCGTCCTGTCTCTGAACCTGAGCCCCTGACCCAGGCGGGGCTTGGTCCACGACAGGTGCAGGTGGCTTGCGAGCATCACCGCACGCCTCCTTGAGCGGCAGGGGTCTGCGTGGGCCGGCTCACCCTGCGTCTGTCCTTGCAGGCAGATTCCCCAGGCGACGGCGTCGATGAAGGACGGCAAATGGGACCGGAAGAAGGTGAGCAGCGGGCCTTGCCTTCCCGCCCCTGGGTCAGTGCCTGACGTAAGCACTCCTGGTGCTGACCTCGGCCTCTTTGCCTGCTTGGTTGCAGTTCATGGGGACCGAGTTGAATGGAAAGACGCTGGGGATTCTTGGCCTGGGGAGGATCGGGAGAGAGGTGGCCGTGCGGATGCAGTCCTTCGGGATGAAGGTAAGGGGGTCGGCAGGCTTCCCGTAGAACGCTGGGAAGAGGCAGCTTTGTGTGCGAGGCGCTGAAGGCTCGAACGTCGTAAGCGTTCATCAATAGGTTCCCTGATACATCATCAATAGCGTTCATCAATAGGTTCCCCCATATCCCCCATCCCCTCCCTTTCAGAGTCTCTGGCTTAAACAGGCGGTACAGCCAGGGAGGGAGGGAGGGAGAGAGCATTGCCGGCTGGTGTGCATTCTTGAACTCAGAACCTGGGGCAGCTCAGTGGAGGTCCTTCGGCCCTGGGGTGGGTAATAGCCCCGAGTCCCAGCGGAGCGGGGTCCTGTTTTCTCCAACCTCTCCTTCCCCCTGCTGTGAGGCCTCCTTGTGGGCTGTGTCTGTCGCCTGTGATGATTCAAGAAACATGGGCAATTGTCCATCCATCTTCTGGCTCCTTTCCAGGGCTCAGCAGAAACCGAACGGTGCTGGTCTGTAAGCTGGTAGGATCCTAGAGCTGATGGTGGCCGGAGACTCCACACATTTCTTAGAAATCATCCCTGCCCCCCACTCCCCTCAGGGTCCTGCCTTATCCTATTCGGGGGGGCTTCCGGGTGAGGGAGGGTTGTCATCAAAAGCAGAACCACACCTGGGGACGCTGCACAGGGGAGGCCACTTAGGCCAGAGTGACAGGCACTGGAGGGCTGGGGGCCGCCGCCTGTGCGCAGTGGCTGTGGGGTGGGGTGAGGGGTTCAGACTGCAGCTGGGGAGGCTTTCGTTAAACATTAAGGGAAACAGCTTCGAAAATCAGATTGTTTCAGGTCTTGAGAAATTCACATGGCCCTGTTCCAGAACTCTCCATTTCCCCCTGGCTCCCTCCCTCTCTGGCTGTCCTTCCCATTTTCATGGAACTTATTGATGAACCCTTACGTTTACATTGACCCCTAGAGTTGGTTCGTTTTTTTCCGAGGGCTCACAGCGAATGGATGACAGACAAGAGCCCAGCTGGGCATCCCATTCTACCATAGTGAGCGTCTTCCTCTGCCTCCTGCCTCCACCCCCCACCCTATGGAACCTTCCGAGACCCGAGGCTCTGAGCCTAACTGTCCCCTCTACCTGGGCTCCTGAGCATTCATGAGGAAAAAAAGTCAACACGATACAGAAAAATGTTAGTCACGTGCAAACAAGTGGTTAGAATAAGCTGGAACTTGGAGACGTTGTAGAAAATAGATCTAGGCAAAGTGCCGAAAATTAGGTACAGTGGTATGGCGGCAGATTTGGAAATTACCGAAAAATCGGTACAGCGGTCTGGTCTGTCACCGAGGCTGGTATCACGCATGAGGCTGTTGGTGAGTGGCTGACATCTGGCCCCTTCCCGGGTATGGGGACTGAAGAGTTGATCCTTTTCTATCCCCTAAGAGTCGTAGGGAGAGACCTTCTTGCGCTCAGGGGCTGGGGATAGACTGTCCCCTTTCCTTTCTCTGTGACTCTCTGGTCCCTCGGGGAACGAGGGATCCTTCACCTCCGATGGGAGCTTAGCCCAGGACCACCTGGTGTGTGTGTGTGTGTGTGTGTGTGTGTGTGTGTGTGTTGTGGTTGGGGAGGAAGGTTTTGGCTGTTGCCCACCTGTACTGACCCACACTCAGGCCCGGGTCCAGAAGGAGCCCTGAGCAGCCATCGCAGAGCGGCGGCTGACTTGCCCTGAGCCACGTGGCACAGGGTTTCTGGATAATGCCCGCAGCTGGCAGGCTGCTGGTGGGCTGCATCGTTTGGGTCTCTCGTTAGAGACCCATTTTCTGCTTGGCACTTTTTCTCAGTGGTGTGGCTAACCCTCAGGCGATCCCTTTGGAGACTTCTCGCATGCAGGCTGGCGTGTCCTCTGGTCTAGAAAGTGTAAGAGACCCACGTGGGCCCGGAGCTGAGCCTTGCACTTTCTGATCAAGGTTTCCTGTGAGGAGCAGAGCAGCATCTCACACGTTTCTTGGGGGCCGGTGTTCTAAGGAGTTTGACTTAGCCCCAAGGGATGGACCTTGGACTGGAGGCACCAGATGTCACTGAATCTTTCGGGTCCGGCTAATGCCACAGTCGGCAAACTGCGGCTCTTGAGCCACATGCGGCTCCTTGGCCCCTTGAGTTTTTAGCAAAGGCCAGCTTAGGAGTACCCCGAATCAAGTTAATAACAATGTACCTACCTCTATAGTTTAAAAAATAGGGCTCTCAAAAGAAATGTCAGTGGTCGTACTGTTGATATTTGGCTCTGTTGACTAATGAGTTTGCCGACCACTGGGCTAACGTGTACTGAGGCCGGCGTGTCGGACTCTGTGCTCCACGGTCCTGCGGAGTCAATGTTATTATCTCCGTAGCAGATAAGGAAACTGTGGCCCAGGAAGGTTATGTGATTTGCTCAAGAGAAAAGGAGCAGTAGGTGGTGGAGGCCGGCTCAGACTCCTGGTCTCCTGACGGCTAATCTGTGTTGTTTGCCCTGTACCTCCACAGCTGTCTTCCCTCCTGACCCCTGTCCTGACCCCTGCCGGTTACACAGGCCCTTCCCCGAGTTCTTTCTAGATCAAAAGCTCTCTTATCTCGGTTTGTCATTAGAATTCCTACTGACCCAGAACAGTGGGTGATTTTCAAATCCTTCCCAGAGCTTCAGGCCCTGGAAAGGTGCCCGAGGGACCGCGGGAGGGACAGGCAGGGCATGAGGCCCTCACCTCTGTAGCTTTGAGTTGATCTGGTTTTATATTGTGTTTTAAGATTTCTGTGTGTAGTGGGGAGAGTTTCAAGTCTAAGCTAAAGAATGTGGCTACAGGGCAGAATGGGCCCCACCCCCTCATGGTCTCCTGGTGCAAGGACCCCAGGTCTCAGCTCAGCTCCTGTCTGCCCTGGATGACTCCAGTAAAACAACAACAACAACAACAAACAACAAATCTACAAACCAAAACAAGAACAGGGCTTTTCTTTCAAATTCTTTCCCTGCGGATGAGTGAGATTCTGCCTGTGTGTGAAAGAAAGCTGAGTCAGGGCCTAGGCATGCAGGAGATGCTTGTCTCCTGGCCCCGCCCACTTCCCTTTGGCCCCAGGCTTGCCTCCCATCCCCCTTTTTAAAAATATATTTATTGATCTCAGAGAGGAAAGGAAAAGGGAGAAAGAGAGAGAGAGGAAGATTGAGAGAGAGCGAGAGCGTGAGAGAGAAACATCAATGATTAGAGAGAATCACTGATCGGCTGCCTCCTGCACGCCCCCTACTGGGGATCGAGCCTGCAACCCGGGCCTGTGCTGTTGGCCAGAATCCAAACTGGGACCCTTCAGTCCACAGACCAGCGCTATCCACTGAGCCATGCTGGCTAGGGCTTGCGCCTTTTCTTGACTTTTGAGAGCCCAGGGTCCTGCGGTTGTGTGAACCCTCTCAGGCTCGGCTTTGTGACCTCTCCTCTCCCCGTGCCACATGCCGAAGTGCATCTGGGTTGGAGATGAAGGGGCCATTGTTCCGGCAGGCAGCGGACAAAGACGCCTTGTGAGAAGGCGTGTGAGAAGAAACCTCCCCTCCCCTGGGTGTTTTATTCTCCCCGAGAGGGAAAAGTAGGTTCTCTCTGACGGCCGGGCCCTGTGGGCCTGGGTGTCACCAGCTGGTGATCCCGGACGCCACCACCGGGAGGCAGCCTCCTTCCCCCAAGCCTCCACCTGCGGTTGGGATGGGGCCCGCGTGGCTTTCCTTCTTCCACATCGTGACGAGAAGTGGGATCCGAACGCGGCACCTCCTCCATATCCACTTTGGTGCCGCCATCTTTTTAAAAAAAACAAAAAACATTTTATTGATTTTTTTTTTTTTACAGAGAGGTAGGGAGAAGGATATAGAGTTAGAAACATCGATCAGCTGCCTCCTGCACACACCCTACTGGGGATGTGCCTGCAGCCAAGATACATGCCCTTGACCGGAATCGAACCCGGGAACCTTCAGTCCACAGGCCGACGCTCTAACCACTGAGCCAAACCGGTTTTGGCTGCATTGATTTTTTAGAGAGAGTAGAAGGGAGGAGGAGAGACACAGAGAGAGAAACATTGATGTGAGAGAGACATATCGACTGGTTGCCTCCCAGTTGTTTTCCTGACCCACCCTGCAACCTAGGTACATGCCCTTGACCGGAATCAAACCCGGTACCCTTCAGTCCGCAGGCCGACACTCTATCCACTGAGCCATCTTCTTTGTCACTTTATTTTCTAAAATAACTTCCTGTCATTGGCTTCGCACCCGGTTGCAGGCACCTCCCAGCTGCTCAGCTGACGTGGTACCCGTGCTCCGGGATGAGTGTCCGGCAGCCAGGCTGTTCCTGATGCGGGAGAGATGCTTGCAGCTGGCGCTCCCCGTTTTCTGGGGGGTGGGGGAGGGTGGGTCCTGGCCTCTGTTGATTGGTCAGAGCCCGGATGGGGGGTGATGAGTCATCACAGCTGGCCCTGGCATCGCCCGCCCACCTGGCTTTGCTGCTTGGCTGAGCCGGAGCCGAAATAGACCTGCAGCCTAGACGTTATCTGCTGGGAGGCCGTGTCTGGCTGCAAGTTGCTCGGCCAGTTTGCTCAGCCAGCTGTCTCGGTTCCCCTCCACCTGCCCCAGCTCACCAGCCTGTCTCGTTCCCCTCGCTGACATGCGATGATGACCTTTGGCCAGTTGGATGCGGTTTGTTGACGCTGATACCCCAAGTTCCCTGGCTGCCCCCGTCTCCCAGTAGTCAACCCTCTTCCTTCTCAGCAGCCTCAGGAGGGTCCACCTCCTCCCCAGACAAGGTTCTTCCTGGGCCCTCCCCCACCTCGGTACCCCGCTGTCTCACTCTCCTCCTCTGAGGGCCTTGAGAAAGCACCTCTCATTGGTCATTTACATCCCCATCCCTGTGGCTAGTCACCGCGGTCTGCCTTCCAAGACCAGATGCATCTTAAGCCCCTAAGAACACTAATTTCAGGAGAGGGAACCTTCCACTCCCTGTTGTCGTCCGCACCTGTGTTTCACCCATTTCCCTGGTGACGCATCCTGGTCTCTAACCCTACTCTGCACCGCCTCCCCTCTCTCCCTCCCTCCTCCCGCACTCTGCCCAAGCAGCCAGGGCCCCTGCCGTCTGGCCCTGTGGTCCCCCGGCTGCAGCCAGCCGCCCCTCCCTTTCCTGGATGTGCCCCACACTGACCCCCGAGTGACCGACCATCCTCCTTCCCTGGGCGCCCCGCTTCCCAAGGGCGTCCACTCCCCCCGCCCTCCGCCCTCCGCCCTCCACATGGCCCGTGGACTGCACACAGGAGCCGCTCCCACACCCGCCTTTCCGCCCTGGTCCGGGCCCTTCCTCGTGGGTAAGCCCCTGTATTCAGGACACTGGTGTCTGCAGAAGGCGTAGCATAGCTCGGCGTATGGTAACTGTCCCATGGTTGCCATCATTAGTAACATAAATGCTAATCCTAATGACACACACACTCTCTCTCACGACCAGACTGTAGGGTACGACCCCATCATCTCCCCAGAGGTCTCGGCCTCCTTCGGCGTTCAGCAGCTGCCCCTGGAGGAGATCTGGCCCCTCTGTGACTTCATCACGGTGCACACGCCTCTCCTGCCCTCCACGACAGGTGGGTATGTCCCCCCACGGAAGCCACAGGCCAGATCAGGGTGGGCTGCCATCCAGGGCTTCCACAGACACTGTGTGTGTGTGTGTGTGTGTGTGTGTACGTGTGAGAGAGTGTGTGTCATCAGCTCTGGGGATGGGCCCCCAGCACTGCCAGCACGGGCATGGGATGCTTTGTGAACTGCCCTGCATTAGAGGGGAGGGGAGGGGTGAGCTCACAGGGAGTGGTGGGGTGCAGGGGTGAGCCCGCAGGGAGTGGTGGGGTGCAGGGGTGAGCTGGGGCAACATGTAAGACCAGTGTCCCTGGAGAGTGGCTGGGCCGCTGCAGGCCTTTCTGGCTCCGGACCCCCTGGATGCAGCCGTACCTCAGGGACCTCTGTTCTAGGAGGTTTCTGAACAGGGTCTGGCCTAGCGCCTCAGAGGGGAGGGGGACGCCTGTAGGGAGGAGGGGGCAGGGAAGGGGGTCTGAGCTGGAGCCAAGCCCGTGGGATCCTGGCACCATGGTGGCACCCCTCCCCCCGCCCCCCAGGCCTGCTGAACGACGGCACCTTCGCGCTGTGCAAGAAGGGCGTGCGCGTGGTGAACTGCGCCCGCGGGGGCATTGTGGACGAGGGCGCCCTGCTGCGCGCCCTGCAGTCCGGGCAGTGCGCGGGCGCCGCGCTGGACGTGTTCACCGAGGTGAGTGCGTGGGGGTGGGGGGAGTCGAGGACCCTGGAGGGGGCAGGAGGCCCCCAGGGCACCTCCCGGGAGAGGGGAGAGATGGCCCTGCGCTGTGTGGTTTGAGGAGGCCTCCCCACGCTGGCACCTACAAAACCCGAGTGTGAAGTGGGACCCATCCTGGTCGGCGCTGGGTTAGAACCTCAGAGGAGACAGCGGCACGGGGTCCTGAGGCCGGGCCTGCGGCCGGGAGAGAGGTTTCATTGTTGATGTGGGCCTGGCACGGGGTCCTGAGGCCGGGCTGCGGCCGGGAGAGAGGTTTCATCGTGGATGTGGGCCTGGTGAAGCGAATCCCGCCCACTGCGCCCGGTGCCCTGGCTGACCCCGCCCTTCCTCTCCCGGGACAGAGGTTAGAGGCTCCCGGTTCCCAGGGTGGGCTGCTCCCCTAGGTCTCCTCCTCCACCCCCACCTCTCACCCCCCACCCATCCTGCCCGTGCGCCAGGCCCAGTGATGAAGGGTGCACCTCCCCTAGAATCCCCTCGCCGCCTCAACACCGGGAGCCCGGGGAGAGCATGGCCTTTGGCCGAGGCCGGGCGGGTGCCGGGCCTGTGTGAACTGTGTGGCCTTGGCCACCCCCGCCCTCCGAGCCCCCATAGGCTCACCGTCCATCCCCTGCCCCGGTGCACAGCGCTCTGGGTCTGTGTTTCTGGTGACCTTTCTGGACTAGACGGTGAGGTCCCCGAGGGCGGGGTGCCTGGCCTCCCCCAGCACAACCCATCCCTTGCCCCCCAGCCTCTTTGGAGCACTGACTGCCACCGCCTGGGCCCGCGGAGGTGGGAGCCCACAGAGCCCGGGGGACAGTGCCCAGCAGAGAAGAGCCCAAGGGGTGGAAGGACCCTGGAGCGTGGGGAGGAGGTGCCCGAGTGGCCACCCTCAGTGTCTGCAAACAGCATGGCTGTGAGCGCAGGAGGCGGGGCTTTGAGGGAAAAGCAGCAACCACAGGGGGTGCCACTGCCAAGAGCCTCTTGCATTGCTGGTGTGTCATCTCCAAGGCAACGGGTCCGAGGTAGGCAGCGCTCACCCATTTCTCAGGGCGGGGAAACTGAGGCTCGGCAAGATGGAGATTTGCCCAGAGGCACAACTGAAATGTGGTCCTGCCGACACCGGTTTGGCTCAGTGGATAGATAGAGCGTCGGCCTGCGGACTGAAAGGTCCCAGGTTCGATTCCGGTCAAGGGCATGTACCTGGGTTGCGGGCACATCCCCAGCAGGGGGTGTGCAAGAGGCAGCTGATCCGCTGTTTCTCTCTCATCGATGTTTCTAACTCTGCCCCCTTTTCTCTCTGTAAAAAATCAATAAAATATATTAAAAAAAAAAAAAAAAAGAATGAATGTGGTCCACGGCTCTGTCCGCCCTTGGCTGTGGTGGGGCATCCGTGAGGAAGCCGGCCGTGGAGCCCCGTGGCCACCCTGACGAAATGAGGGGAGAAGCCGCCTTCCCTCCTGCCAACGTCCCCGTCTCTGTCCGGGCAGGAGCCGCCCCGGGACCGCGCCCTGGTGGACCACGAGAACGTCATCAGCTGCCCCCACCTGGGCGCCAGCACCAGGGAGGCGCAGAGCCGCTGCGGGGAGGAGATCGCCGTGCAGTTCGTGGACATGGTGAAGGGCAGAGCCCTCGCGGGAGTCGTAAGTATCCCAGGCACGGGGGTGGGGTGGGGGGAGCGGAGGCTGGAGGGGGGAGAGGAGTCTTGGTGACAGCAGCGGGGACAGCGTGGTGTGGTGGCCGGGTTCTGCTCTGGGAGGTAAGGTTCCACCTGAGTCGGTAGCAGGAGCAGGCCTGCCCCTCACCTGGAGGCCCAGGCCTGGCAGCAGGGAGCCCAGCTCCGCCCTGACATTGCCGCCTTGTGCGGGGATTAAGGTTCTTCCTGGGGCTCAGCGCCCGGGAAAGGCTCCTTTGTTCCCTGCAGGCCTGCGAATGCAGGGGTGAGGCTGAGCTGAGGGCTGGACTCCCCGGAGTGAGGGGCGGGGCAGTGGAGAAAGCCCCTCGGGTGAGGGTCCTTGTTAGTCGCACATTTCCTCCGCCTGCCACAGGCTCCCGGCCACCCAGCTGTTTGGCTCTGCTCCCAGCAGCTGGCCGGCTGCTCTCCTCGGTCCTTGGGGAGCTGGGGCTCAGCAACAAGACTTGCTGGGACAGGCCTGCCGGGTCCCACCCACCTCTTCCTAACCCCAGCTCCACTCCCCGTCTCCCTGCAGGTGAATGCCCAGGCCCTCACCAGCGCCTTCTCTCCGCACACCAAGCCGTGGATCGGCCTGGCAGAAGCTCTGGGGACTCTGATGCGAGCCTGGGCCGGGTCCCCCAAAGGGACCATCCAGGTGGTAACGCAGGGTGAGCGGGGACCCTGCCGAGGGAAGGGGAGGGGGTGTGTGGACTCTGTACTCCACGAGGTGTGTCCGCTGCAGGCAGACAGTGAGGGACTCGGAGGTGACCCTGGTCTCGGGGCCCCATGTTCTGAGTACGGCTCACTTGCTACTGAGTTAGAGGCAGAAGAGGAGGGACAAAAAATTTGTTGGGAAATATGCTTCATTGTCACGAATCCCGTGTGCACGTTAATTTAAAGACGTGCATGTGTGTGCGGTAGCTTAAAGATGCTCCTGTTTGGGGTGCAAGAGGAACCTCCACAAGAGACACAGTTTCCCATCAGAGGCAGTAGGATTTGGTGGCGGGAGTCCTGGTTAAGTGACAGGGAGTTTGATGCTGGTTTTGACCCTGTCGCTTACCAGCTGTGTGGCATTCCCGGTCTCCGAGCCTTGTAGTTTTTCATGGGTGAAGTGTGAGTCACGGTGGGTGTGCCAGACGAGGTGTGAGGACGTTCTGTGCTCGACAGCCTAAGATGGGTGCTGGGACAAGGTGGTAGCCTTGGGGGCATTGCTCAGCAGCGACGTGGGAACAGAACAGCGCCCTCTGTCGGCCGCTTGTTGACTGTGCAGGCTCCACCGGGGGCAGAGGTGCTGGAGAGACCAGGGAGGCTCCAGCATTGCAGAGACAATCCCTCTCATTGACCATTGACTCTTGGGGAGAAGGGGGGTGGGGGTGAGGATCGGGCAGGTAGACCCCGAGCATTGTCCGTCCTGGGCAAGGCCTGAGCCAGGGGATCCCCACTGGCTTGGGACTCCAGACCGCAAGGCAGAGGGAACTGGGCCGCAATTCCTTCAATGACCCCTTTCTTCTACTTCCTGAGGCCAGCAAGGGTGTGACTGTCGGAAGGAACAGGCAGGCCAGATGGCCAGACCATGGCAGGTGTGGGGATCACTGGATTTGGGCGGGTTTTGGAGATGCATTTTTTTAAATTTATTTTTTATTTTTTATTGATTTTTTTTTTTTTTTTTTTTAACAGAGAGAAAGGGAGAGAGATAGAGAGCTAGAAATGTTGATGGGAGAGAAACATCGACCAGCTGCCTCTTGCACACCCCCTACCGGGGATGTGCCCACAACCAACACATGCCCTTGACTGGAATCGAACCCGGGACCTTTCAGTCCGAAGACCAAAGCTCTACCGCTGAGCCAAACCGGTTTCGGCTGGAGATGCGTTTTTTTAGTGGATGAGAGTGCCCTCGGGGTCCAGTCCAGGACAGGACAAGGGCCAGGCCAGCCAGCCTCTGGGCAGTCTGCAGACCCTCCGTGTGTCTGCTCCTCCTTGGGGGAAGCAGGATGGCCCAGGCAGGCTGGAATCGGGGTCCCCAGTGTGTGGAGCTGGGGCCTCCTGCCCCTCCTGAGTTGCTCAGCCAACGGGGGCCTCATGGTGGCTTCCTTTCGGCCCCCAGGCGTATCCCTGAAGAATGCCGGGAACTGCCTGAGCCCCGCAGTCATCGTCGGCCTTCTCAAGGACGCTTCCAATCACGCGGACGTGAACTTGGTGAACGCCAAGCTGCTGGTGAAGGAGGCCGGCCTCAACGTGGGTGCCCACTCTCCCCTCCCCACCCCACCCCGTCATTGAGCACAGCCCTCTCCCCTGCACGCTCAGAGCACGCCTCAGCCCTGCTCAGTGAGTGGGAGACCGGGGATGGGGGGCTCCCGCCTGCCTCCGAGTGTCGCTGTGCAGGAAAGTGCTGAGTGTGTGCACGCCTGTGCCAGCGCCCCCATGTCACAGCCAGGAGCACTGAGGGGCCCATTTGTGTCTGTCTGGCGGGGGGGGCTGGGAGGCAGCCTCGCGTGCTCAGCTCTGGCTCCCTCCAGGGCTGTGCATGCACCATGGAGCCCGGTTTCTTGCTGAGCTTGCCCGCTCCTGGGAAGCTGGCAGCACGTCCTCCTCGCCTCTGCTGCCCTCACGGCTTCTCTTTGGCATCTCTCCCTCCGCCTCTGCTGCCCTCACGGCTTCTCTTTGGCATCTCTCCCTCCGGTTCCCTTTGTAGATCAAAGCCTGCTGCCAGGGGAGCTGGCCGCGGCCACGGGAAGCGGGGCTCCGGCAGCCCCCCTCCCGCTCCCTCCCCACACCTACGTCCCAGGGAGGCAGCTGGTTGTGTGCAGGGAGCCGTGAGCCGAGCGGCCAGGCTGGGTCAGCCTGCGGGCAGACCTGCCGCCCTCGTTCCCACCCCTCCCCTCCAAGCTGTTCCCTGTACCAGGCAGATCCGTTCTTCCTTACGGGGGCCATGGACCCCTCCCCCAGCCCTGAATGGCTGACCCAGTGGGCCAGGCTGAAGCCCTACTCATCGGCTGTGGGGCTAAGGGAATGGGCAGGCATGATGCCGCCAGGAGGCGTGACCGTCCCCTGCCTTCTCTCCGCAGGTCACCACCTCCCATAACCCCGCCGTGCCAGGGGAGCAGGGATGCGGGGAAGGCCTCCTGAGCGTAGCCCTGGCCGGTGCCCCCTACCAGGCCGTGGGTTTCGTCCAGGGCACCACGCCTGTGCTGCAGGCGCTCAACGGAGCCGCCTTCCGACCCGAAGTGCCTCTCCGCAGGGGGCTGCCCCTGCTGCTGTTCCGAGCCCAGCCCTCCAACCCCGCCATGCTGCCCACCATGATCGGTGAGGAGGGGCCTGGGGGGGTGCTGGCGTCCTGAGGCGGGGGGGTGGGGGTGGTGGTGGTTGCGGAAAGGGGTGACCTATCTTTGGTTGATCTCTTCCTCACCCCTATCTTCCCTCTGAGATTTTATTTTTTTAATACAAAGAGGAAGGGAGAGAGATAGAGAACCAGAAACATAGATGAGAGAGAAACATGAATCAGCTGCCTCTTTGCACACCCCCTGCTGGGGATGTGCCCGCAACCAAGGTGTACATGTCCCTGACCGGAATCGAACCCGGGACCTTTCAGTCCGCAGGCCGACGCTCTTATCTATCCACTGAGCCAAACCGGTTTCGGCTCCCTTTGAGATTTGACAGTCTATGCCATCTTGAGCTGCCCAGTCCCCAGGCGTCTGGGCTGAGGGGAGCTTTGGAGCACTGCCTGGCAGGGAGTGAGTTCCCGTCCCTGCCAGCTGCGCCGAGGGGCAGGCCTGCTTTGTTCTCCCGCGGTGGGTCTGATGAAGCTGGCAGCCAGCCAGCCAGGCAATTGCTCCAGCTCAGCGGTTCCCGCCCTGCCCCGCCCGCCCGATGCTCTCCGGAATACAGCTGAGCCAAGCGCTCCCTCTCTCGGCTCTCTGATCCAGAGACCATCAGCCTCCACTGCAGCAGCCCGAGGCTCTTGCTCCTTTCCCATACTCCGTGCCAACCCAGGCTTTCTCCCCCCCAGGGCTCCTGGCAGAGGCCGGCGTGCAGCTGCTGTCCTACCAGACCTCGGTGGTGTCCGACGGGGAGACCTGGCACGTCATGGGCATCTCCTCGCTGCTGCCCAGCCTGGACGCCTGGAAGCCGCACGTGACCGAGGCCTTCCAGTTCCATTTCTGACCTTGGGGCTGCCCGGGACCAGGGGACCAGCCGTGGGGGTTTTGTGACCAACACGGAGAGGTCACACTCCCAGGGCTGACACCACGGACGGACGTAGTCTGATCCTGTTATAACCACCTAATAAACAGCCCCCTCCATCCCCCCCAATCGCCTTGTGTGTGTGTTGTCATTACCCACAAGGGCCACCAGAGGGCGCCCATGGGCAGCCGCAGGGAGCGGGGAGGAGGGTTCACGGAGGAGGACCTGGGTGGGCAAGCTGCACGCCTGGGTGTGGGTGTTCCTGCCTCGGGTTATTCAGAGGCATTTTCACAGGAACAAAGCGTGGCGTTTCAGACCCCTTCCGTCTGGAACTGCACATGCGTATGAATGAGTACATGCAGCGTTATGTGCCAGACACTGGGCTAGGTCCGTGGTCGGCCAACTCGTTAGTCCACAGAGCCAAATAGCAGCAGTACAGCAATTGAAATTGCTTTTTTTTTTTTTTTTTTTTTTTTTTTTTTTTACATTTTAAAACCGTTTTGTGTGTGTGTGTGTGTGTGTGTGTGTGTGTGTGTGAAATGGTTATTAACAAGTCTGAAATTGCTTTTTGAGAGCCACGTTTTTTTTAAACTTCAACTTCTTCAAAAGCCACTTCTTCAAAATAGACTCGCCCGGGCCGTGGTATTTTGTGGAAGAGCCTCACTCGAGGGGCCAAAGAGCCGCCTGTGGCTCTGGAGCCACAGTTTGCCGACCACGGGGCTAGGTGACCTGCCTAGGAGGAGCCGTAAACCCAATCTCCCGCACAAGCCTCCGTGGGGGGGGGGGGGCGGGGGGGGGTACACACAGGGCACGGGTCACGGTCAGCAGTGCGGGAAGTGCCGCAGCAGGTGCACGAGTTCCGTGGAGTCCAGGGGAGGGAGCAGCTCTGGCGGGACGGCTTCTCGGAGGCGTCGGGAGGGTTTCGTCAGGCCGACAGTGTGAGACAAGGCAGGAGGCTATTGGGAGATTTTACAAAGCCGGCTCCGGATGGGTTGGATAGTACCGTGTTTCCCCGAAAATAAGACATCCTCCGAAAATGAGACCTACTTACAGGTTTCCTTCTGAGTGAAATATAAGGCATCCCCCCGAAAATAAGGCCCCCCTAGGCTCTGTCTCAGAATGCTATTGCTAAACATGAGAGATTTGGCCCACTGATTCTGAAAGAAATGGAGTCACAAGGAATTCACCAGGAAATTCAGGAATTGGATTGTGATGATGATGTTCCAGAAGATGATGACATGATTGTCATTGAATAAATGAGTAAATTCTTGATACTGTAGGATTCAGTTTGTCTGGTTTGTGTTGACAATTACCGTACTACCGTACCGTATACAGGTAATAAATTTCCTTTATTTTCATTAAACAATAAATGTGTACTGTATTCTTCTTCATGGAAAAATAAGACATCCCCTAAAAATAAGACCTAGCGCATCGTTTGGAGCAAAAATTAATATAAGACACTGTCTTATTTTCGGGGAAACAGGGTATATTACTTGATTTTTTTTTAAAAAAAAAGATGATTTTTAGGAAACATGGCAATGGCACTCCCTGATCCTACTCTTCTCCCCTTGGGAGCGTCCTCCCGTTAGGAGGGGATGCTGCCTCTACCCTGTGCCCGGTAGCTTCTGGTTTTGAGACGGCTGTCTGGGGTGAAAGCCTAGCACAGGGCATCTGATTGGCACGGACAGACTCGAACCCACCCCTTGGGCCTCCTCAGTGCTGTGGTTGAGCTAAAGGCTGGCAGGACTGCCACCAGCTAACCGCTGTGCTGGCATCTGCAGGGAGCTCACAGCTGGTCTGTCCTCGCCCTGCAAGGGCTGGGGCTGGGCCGGGACAGCAGGCTTCACTGAGCAGCTCTGACTGCGCACAGAGCTTATGGGAGTACCTGAGGCAGGTGGCGAACCTTGTTTTTTGTTTTTCTTTTTTAAAATATATTTTGATTTTTTTTTTTTTTTTTTTTTTTTTTTTTTTTACAGAGAGGAAGGGAGAGGGATAGAGTTAGAAACATCGATGAGAGAGAATCATTGATCAGCTGCCTCCTGCACACCTCCTACTGGGGATGTGCCCGCAACCAAGGTGCCCTTGACCAAAATCGAACCTGGGACCTTTCAGTCCACAGGCTCTATCCACGGAGCCAAACCGGTTTCAGCTGCTTTTCTCCTTTTTTTATTCCTGTGCCTTTGAGTTGACAGCAGGCCTCAGTCTTACACGGAAGACCCTGCTTGGGAGATCTCAGGAAAGGCAACTACTGTCGGCCAGGGACGCCAGCCTGACTGAGGCTCCCCCCGCCCCCCCCCCCCCCCCCCCCAGCTTGCGGAGGGAGCAGGAGCAGCGGGTCAGAAGGGTCTGCTAAGGGGCAGCCACAGCTGGTGAAAGAGTCGAAGTTGAGCACCCGCACCTGGGAGGGAGTCAGCTGATGCTGGATTAGCGACTCAAATTGGGGTTTACTCCGGGTTTTCTGGTGCCTCTTGGGAAATGGATAGCCTTAGGCAAAGAGCCCAACATCTCCCCACATGCCTCGTGCCCCATTACTCCTAGCAAACTCCCCACCCTGCCAGCCTGCTCCCTACCCATGGAGGAAACACTCTCGTTGGGGTGGCTTTTAGAAGCAACTTTTCAAAAGGAAATGAATGGCAGCACAGTGGTGCCCACCCCCCAGTCTGGCCTCAGCTCTCTGAGCTGTTGCTGTTTATAAGAGGATCCTGGAAAAAGCGGTCCCCTCACCCAGGGAGACAAGCAGTCCTTCCGGGGGAAAGTTTCCTGCTAGGTTTCCAAGGTGGTTTTTTGGTGGAGGAACCAAGATGTAACCTATTTCCACCCTCCCCACCCCTCCCCACACACACCCCCTCTGTGCAGCCCCGGCACGGCCCAGGGTGACCCTGAGAGGGGCAGATGAAAGGCTTGGAGAAGACAGGCAAGAGAATGAAAGTTGGTCTCGGTGAGATGCTGCTTCTCTGAGGGAGGGACAGTGCCACGGAGACAAGCCGTGTCTTTATTTTATAGCCGATGCCACGAGGCAACGTAAGGGCGTGGTCAAGGTGTTTATAGCATTCTCGTGGGTTTCCATCCTACTCAACTACATGCAGCTGGTCAAGCTTTGTTTACCTGCAGCCTAAATCACTCAGGCACGTGGGGCCGCGTGTTCGGACCACAGGTTCACGCGGACAAGTCCAGCTGTTGGCTGTCTCTGTGCTGGGAGGCTCTGCCCTCCAGGCTGGGACTTGCACGTGGCCACGAGAGGACTGTGCCCTCTCAGGGTCAGGGGACGAAGCTGGGCCACCCTGTGTGCGTCCCTGCCCTGTCTCCCTGTACCTCCTGGAGGAAAGGAAGGAGGGGAGACAGTGCTCAGCAGTTCACCGCTGGGGGGCAGGTGCCGGGACAGGGCAGGAGCCAGGAGGCTCGGGAGGCTTCTCTCCAGGAAACAGGAGAATCCTCCCTCCTTTTCTGTTTTGAATATTTAATTTAATGTTGTTGTTAATCCTCACCCAAGGATAGTTTTCCCATGGATTTTTAGATGGAGAGTGGAAGGGGAGGGAGGGAGATAGAGAGAGAAAGGAGAGGGAGAGAGGGAGAGGGAGAGAGGGAAAGAGGGGGAGAGAGAGAGAGAGAGAGAAAAAGAGAGAGAGAGAGAGAGAGAGAGAGAGAGAGAGAGAGAGAGAGAGAGAGAGAGAGAGATATCAGTGTGAGAGAATAGATTGGTTGCCTCCTGCAGTCACGGGACTGAGCTGGGGATCCAACCTGCAAGCCAGGTACGTGGCCTTGACTGGGAGTCGAACCAGTGACCTCTCAGTGCTCAGGCTGGCACTCCAACCACTGAGCCAAGGCTCCAGTATTCGAGTATTGGCTTGCTTGTGACTTTTGGGGTCTGGTTGCCTCTCCTGCCTTTAACCTTTATCACTTCAGGTGCACAGCATTGGAATTCGACAACTGTATACACTGGTCATCACCCCCCTCCCCCCCAAGCCTAGTTATTATCCAGCACCACACCATCCACCCCTACCACCTTCCCCCTTCCCCTTTCACTCTTCCCCCTTCTCCTGCCCCTGTCTCTATCTTTTTTTTTTTTTTTTTTTTTAATATACTTTATTGATTTTTTACAGAGAGGAAGAGAGAGGGATAGAAAGTTAGAAACATAGATAAAAGAGAATCATCTATCAGCTGCCTCCTGCACACCCCCTACTGGGGATATGCCCGCAACCAAGGTGCATGCCCTTGACTGGAATCAAACCCAGGACCTTTCAGTCGGCAGTCCAACGCTCTATCCACTGAGCCAAACCAGTTTCGGCCATGTCTTTATCTTCTTAATAAGATGGTGCTATATTAGCTGAGCACCAGGTATAAAATTGAGAAATTCACAGAAAACCCAAAGAAAGAACAAAGACATGACAGCACAGGAAGGTAATAATAATAAAAACAGGGCTATCACCAACGACAGACAAGCCATCTGGATCTGGAGATGAGATCTGCCACCTTGCAGGAGGTCCGGCCAGGCCTCCTCCATCGCTCTCTCCCGCAGAGGGTGCTGGCCCCCAGCGCACAGCCTGGCCGTGCTGCTGCAGGAGAGGGCTGAGGGACCCCAGAGGGGCTGTCCCTCCTCAGGGCCAGGGCCCCGACGGAGACAGCGTGTCCAATCCATTCTAGTTACCAGCTAAGAGTGGGTGGTTGGTTGGTTGCTTTTACGTGATTCGTGGGCAAAAGCTGTGCTTCGCGTGCTTGTCCCAGGGCCCACTCCGTGGAGCTGTAGGATGTAAAGAAGCAAAACAGGGCCAATGAATATCGAGTCTCATCCCGGGCAACCCCCTCCATGCCTGCTTCTTGCCCGAGGCAGGGCCGTGCGCACAGGCTCGCTCTCTCTCTCCCCCTTCCTCCCACTCTCTCAAAATATCAATGGGAACATATCTGCAGGTCAGGATTAATAACAACAAAAGTAGCTTACAAACTTCTCCCAACTGAAACTGGTTTGGCTCAGTGGATAGAGTGTCAGCCTGCGGACTGAAAGGTCCCAGGTTCAATTCCAGCCATCCCCAGTGGGGGTGTGCAAGAGGCAGCTGATCGATGATTCTCTCTCATCAGTGTTTCTAACTATCCCTCTCTCTTCCTCTCTGTAATAAATCAATAAAAAAAAGAAAAAAGAAAAAAGACTTCTTCCATTTCTCCACTTCCATTAAACTCTTCTCTCCTTAAGATCCTATTCTTTGTGAATCTGTCCCTACCACACTGGTGTGTGTCTTTTCTGAAACTATTCTTTTTCTTTCTTTCTTTCTTTCTTTCTTTCTTTTTTTTTTTTTTTTTTTTAATATATTTCATTCATTTTTTTACAGAGAGGAAGGGAGAGAGATAGAGAGCTAGAAACGTCGATGAGAGAGAAACATCGACCAGCAGCCTCCTGCACACCCCCCACCTGGGATGCGTCTGCAACTAAGGCACATGCCCCCAACTGGAATCGAACTCGGGACCCCTCAGTCCACAGACCAACCCTCTACCACTGAGCCAAACCGGTTTCGGCTGAAGCTATTCATTTTCCTGACTGATCTCGCCCATTTGTTGTTGTTTTTAAAAAATATATTTTTATTGATTTCAGAGAGGAAGGGAGAGGGAGAGATAGAAACATCAATAATGAGAATTATTGATTGGCCGCCTCCGGCAAGCCCCCTTCCGGAGATTGAGCTTGCATGAAATCGAACCCAGGACCCCTCAGTCCGCAGGCCGACGCTCTATCCACTGAGCCAAACCGGCTAGGGCTGACCTCGCCCCTTTGGATTAATGAACCCCATGGGCTCAAGGCCACAACCTGCTTCCCCGTAAGGGCACTAACTCTGTTTCATCGAGCTTCTAGGGAGCTTCCTGGCACACGCAGATCAGATAAACATGTTGACTCTCTTGTTTACATTGAGATTTACGAACATGCCTCCCTCCCGCCAGCTCTGGGCTTTCCAGGGCAAAGAGTCCTACGTGTTTTTCTTGGTCTTCCCGGTACAAACTCGCCACCTCTGACCATTTTGGGAGCTACAAACCCTCCTGGGCCTCGTTACGCCATCACATCTGTATCTGTTTCCCCTGAGGAAACCCTTCCTGCCCCGACCCCGCCGCACTGCACTCACCACCTTCAGACCGGACACCGGGCGTACTTCCGGCGATACAGCTCATCCACCCTCTCCAGGTACCACGTGCCTGGGAACAGGCTGGTTGTGTCCGCAGGGGGCGAGAAATTCACTGCGGAAGAAGGAGAAGAGGCAAGTCTCAAAACGAGCTATCCGCGACTGGGGGAGAGAAGATGGTGGCAGGGACGCCTACAGCTCTCCTGGCTGTGGTGCAAGAGGCCGAGAGGTCACCTCTACGCCCAGCAGAGAACTGGGCCAGCGGGAGGACCAGAAGCAGAGCTGGTCCAAGGTCTAGTCCACAGGATCTAGCCTATAGGATCTGGTCTGTAAGGCCGGGCTAGTAGACATTTCATTACAGGAGTATGACCTTCTCCTTCAGTAAGCACGGTCTTCCTCCATGGACACGGTTATTATGTGCCTTTTGGGTCAATGGGACTCAGCTTGAGGTGCACCTCAGAGCTTCCCATTTCCTGCTAGACACTTCCTCCTGTACCCTAAGCTTTCTGGCCCGGATTTATGACAGGATTTCAGAGTTTTGTCCATGAATGCTCATCTCAGAGGTCCATTTATTTATTTATTTATTTATTTATTTTTTCCTCTGCTCTATCATGTCCCCTGTTCCAGGTAAGATTGTGGCTGCTCCACCTAGGTTTTCTGGAACATCCCAGATCCCATAGGTTCTGTCCCCTTTTCAGACCACCGTACAAACCATGTATCACAAGATTTGCTTCAGAAAATACAGTGACTGCGGTTTTAACATCACCGTTTGGTCTCTCGGGTCAAACCTCTAGCTTTGGTTTACTTTTTCTTTTGCTGCTTTGTGGGGCCGTATTGTGTTTTTAGGTTTTTGGTAGGGAAAGAGGGCAGTTGGGTGGAGACAGTCAAGTTTGCTCAAAACTTATTTTAATGCACTCATTTATTTAATTTGGCAATTCTGCAAAATAGGTGTGATCTTATTTTATGTTTTTATTGACTTCAGAGAGAGGAAGGGAGAGGGAATGAGAGAAACATCAATGATGAGAGAGAATCATCAATCAGCTTCCTCCTGCATGCCCCCCACTGGGCATCAAGCCCCCAACCTGGGCATGTGCCCTGACCGGGAATCAAACCATGGCCTCCTTGTTCATGACTTGACACTCAACCACTGAGCAACACCGGCCGGGCAGAGCTGGCATGATTTTAGAAATGAGACAACTGAAAAAAGTTCAATCGTTTCCCCAGAGATAGAGAGCTGGTGCGTGTCACAGATCAGTTTAATTTGAATATCTAGCTCCAAAGCCTGGATTCTTTCAACTGTTGCATAGATGGTATTTTCAAAGACCATACATCTGGCTTGCATGGGGCTACACGGCTCTGTACTCCGTTTTGGTGGTTAGCCACATCCTATACCGAGAAGCCACATGCTGCCGGCTACCTCTTCCCAGCTCTGTCTTTTTCTTCCGCACCCCATTCTTGCCCATTGGCCCCCAATAGATCTTCTCCCAGACACATCTCAGAGGCGTCTTCCCCTTGGCCCCCTATATGCTAAACTCCTGGTGAATCCCTGGCTCTCAGCTACAGGCCTAGACTCTGAGAGAAATTGCCTTCTCCTCCTCCCTGCTCTTTTCTTTAAAAAAAAAATAAATTAATTATTATTATTTTTTATTGTTTGAAGCATTATAAATAGTAGTACATATGTCTCCTTTTTTCTTCCCTTGACCTTCCCCCAACCTCCCCTAACCCCCCATATGCCTTCACCTGCCCCCCCTCCAACCTCCCTTGCCTTCCCGCTGTTGTTTGACAGTCTGTTCAATGGTTCTTTATCTCTATCACTATCTCCCCCCCCCCATTTCTTTTCTTTAAAAAATTTTGCAACTTCAGACTAGAAATAAACATATAATAACAAAAAACGTTTGAGTCCCAATTTCAATGTCCAACAAACCTCAGAGAAGGTGGGGGTCGGTGGGAGAAAGGGGGAGAGCCCAACAGAGAGACTGTGCCCCCGCTCTTGTCTTACCCTTGTGGAAGAATTGTTCTCTCTGCTCCATTATTTTCGTGAACTCCTCAGGAGACATGCGCTTCCGGGAGTCCAGGCGTTCTGGCAGGTCTGACAGACTGGAAACCAGCTTTTCCAGCGGGGAGCCTGGGAAGCAAAGGCAAGACTGACAAACCGGCATCATTGTCCTTGTCACTGCTCCCAGCCACCAGCGCGGTGAAGAGAAAGGGCCGGTGGGAGCTTCAGCCTGGGGTGTGTGTGTGTGTGTGTGTGTGTGTGTGTAGAACAGTGCTCTGTGATCGGCTTGGGATGCCAGGAAACGATCAAGGCCAGCAAACGTGATGCTGGCAAAACACAGGGACTGACACACTCATCAGGTCAAGGTGTATCTCACACAGGGTTTACTACACTTGATCTTAGCCAAAAGGCCGAGGAGCGGTGTCTCAGGCAGCGTTTAGAGGTGAGACTTTCACTGCGTTCGTCATAAAACAAGCAACAGCTACTTCCTGGGCATCTCAAACCCGCCCACTTCTCTTTAACCAGTAGCGACCAACCATCATGGCTCTCACCTGGACTCTTTGCTGGACCAGCTTGCCTGGGTTCCTCATAACTACCTGTGTTCTGGGCAGTGCTTTATATACACAGATTAGACCAACTTGCTCCGAGTCTTAAATCCCTTTAGGAATTTCCTTTATTCTTCTCTCTCTCTCTCTCTCTTTTTTAATTTTATTTAAATAGATCTTTTTTTAAAAAAAATATATTTTTATTGATTTTTTACAGAGAGAGAGAGGGATAGAGAGTTAGAAACATCGATCAGCTGCCTCCTGCACACCCCCTACTGAGGATGTGTCCACAGCTAAGTACATGCCCTTGACAGGAATCGAACCTGGGACCTTTCAGTCCGCAGGCCGACGCTCTATCCACTGAGCCAAACCGGTTTCGGCTCCTTTGTTCTTAACCACATTATACGGGGAGGGAGGGAGCCTCGTTGGCGGTGAGGCAGGACACTGTTTATTGTACCAGATGACTCTTCTTGGTAGAGAGACGGACTCACCTGGAGAAGCATCCTGGGAGGCGCGGAAGGAAAAGAAACTTGCTGCCAAGCCTGAGCCATAGGAGAAGGCGCCGATCCGGGAGCCGGCCAGGTCCTGGGCAGAGTGACTGCAGGGAGAGAAACCAAAACCCAGAAAACACACAGCATTGTATGCTGTGCTCCTCACACACGGCCACCTTAACAATCTGGCTCACCTCTTGCCCCCTGGGAACAAGTTCCCAGCGCTCACCCAAAGGGGGGCGTTTGGACTCTGGGGATGGGCCCAGAAGGAGAAAACTATGCCAGGAAGGAAGCAGCTAAAATCCCAGGGGCAGAAGGCACAGGGCGCATAAGGGAATTTCTCCGCACCCCTGAAGACACGGTGAGTTCAGTGAACTCTGAAAGTATCTCCGTGTTGAGACCAGACCGCTGCCCTCACCTGCAGGCTTCCCCACTGGCTGGTAATGCTCTCGTCCCCTCACTAGCAATAATTTCACCAAGTTTATTTATCTTAAAATATACTTTTGTTGATTTTTAGGGAGAGAGGAAGGGAGAAGGATAGAGAGCTAAACATTGACCAGAGAGAAACATCATCGATCAGCTGCTTCCTGCATGCCCCCTGCTGGGGAACGAGCAAGCAACCTGCATGCGCCCTGACTGGGAATCGAACCAGTGATCTCTTGGTTCATGGGTTGAAACTCAACCACTGAGCCACACCAATTTCGCCAAATTTATATACATACATCTCCTAGATTATATGCATGAACTTACTATATGTATAGTACCTGTATTTCCTTCTTAACCTCACAGCATAGAATGTCAATAGAAATAACATTTGAGCATCCGCTGAGCATTATGAGAGTTCTAATTGCTTTTGACATTTAAACTCATCAAAACCCAAGACAGTACATATGGTTGTTGCACATATTTTATAGGTAGGGAAAGGGAGACACACGGAGGTCAAGTCTTTTCCCAAGGTCAAAGTTAATAAGTGGTAAAGAGACTTGAACCTCGGTTGTGGACTCTAAAACCAGACTCTCTTAACCAGGAATCTTTACTAAATATAGAGATTTTAAGTGGAGGAGAAAAATTCCTCAATTTCTTGCCGCATAGAGTCGCTCTTGCACCTCCCTTGACATAGTACATGAACTTCACTTTGGGGTGACTGTTTAATACTGAGAATAAACCTCCTATACACATCTTTAAAATAAGTTTATTTCCACCTTCCTCCATCCCTCCCTTTCTCCCTTTCTCCCTCCCTGCCTTCCTCTCTTCCTTCCTTCCTTCCTTCCTTCCTTCCTTCCTTCCTTCCTTCCTTCCTTCCTTCCTTCCTTCCTTCTTCTTTTTTAAAAAAAAAGTTTATTAATTTTTTACAGAGGAAGAGAGAGGGATAGAGCGCTATAAACATCAATGAGAGAGAAACATCGATCAGCTGCCCCCTGCACCCCCCCCACTGGGGATGTGCCTGCAACCAAGGCACGTGCCCCTGTCCGGAATCGAACCTGGGACACTTGAGTCCACAGGCCGACGCTCCATCCACTGAGCCAAACTGATTAAGGGCTCTTCCTTCCTTCTTAAAAAAATTCTGAACCACAGAGGATCCGGGTGTGGTTGACCCTGAGGCCCTGGGCGGGCTGGGAGGCGGCCGTACACGGTACTCACTGAGCCAGGAGGGAGGCCAGGCACCCGTACAGGGAGGAGGTGTACGTGTTCCCGTTGTGCGTAGAGAGGTGAAGAGAGGCCTTGGTTTTCTTGTTGAACGTGTCCAGAGAGGCCTTCAGGAGAGCTTTGTCCAGGTCCTTGTTGATGTAGGTGTCTTCCAGCTTGAGCCCCCTGTGAGGCAGCCAGAGGGACAGGCCAGGTGAGAGACCCTGAATGCATTGTTAGTGGCGGGGGAGTAGTGGTTGGCCATAGGGGCAGGTATTGCTGGCACATAACAGCACCTGAACAGTGACCGAGACAAAAGGGAACGTTCTCTTCCTAGTGGGTTCTCTCTGTATTGAAGATTGTGATTTTCCTAAATATCTTGGAGCCGTGAATGAATAAATGGCATTCTTCCTGCCTTATTGACCTCTAAGAGGGTGAGCTGGACTATCTTAATTTTGTAGATGGGGAAATCGAGGCAGCAAGCAAGACACTGATGGAGTCCATGGTGAGTGAGAATGAGAGTGGACACTGGCTGAGGTGCTGTCCTGTACTGGGATTGTTTCTAGGTATTTCCATCCATACAAACTGTGAGAGCCTCTAGGCAGAGAGCATGGAGTCACACTTGCTTCTGGGTCCCTAGAGCTTAGTAAGATGCCTGGCACACAGCTGGCGTTCATCGAATGCTTACTGACTGAATGATACAGCCACACCCTCTTTCCCTTTGTCTTATTCTCTGAAGCTTCTTATTGTCCTCCTAGTAGCCCTGCGCATGAATCTGTGCACCAGTAGCTCTCTGCAGGGCCTGGCCGCTCTGTGCCCGCTGCCCAGAGGCTCTCCCTGGCCCGGAGCCCATCCTCAGCCAGGGTAGAACTTGTTGCCGTGGTGACAAAGTAAGCATTCCACCAGGCTGCTCACACTGCCCGCTCTCAGCGGCCGTCCCCCCCAGGACTGGTTGACTCTTGTTGGCTGAGAGGACTGGGCACTGCCATCTTATGGCTATGGGTGCCGGAGTGACGGTTAATTTGCATATTACCATTTTATTAGATAGGATGACTCAAGTTGCTGGCAAGCTCCCTGTGCTCCTGCGATGAAGGTGAGGATCCCATGAGGACAATAACCCATTCGCCCATGTCAGACTTGGTGTCCTTTCTATTGTTGGAAGAGCGTCCTTTTTCCCCACGGGAGTGGCTGATGGACCAGACTTAAGGCTCAAGGGAGGAAGCCTCCTCCTTTCTCACCCCTCCCGGCCCTCTCGGCTCTCCACAGAGAGACTCACCTGAAGGCCTCCAGCCCCTTGTAGTGGCTGCTCTGCGCGCCGCTGCTGGCCGACAGGAAGTCATTGTACACCAGGCGAGCCAGCGACTTCTGGACCAACTTGCAGAAGGGCGAGTGGAAGATCATGAACTGTAAGTCGTCCAGAGTGAAGGTCCGGTCGTTGCCAGCTGGGAGAGGAAGTGTGAAAACAAGGAGGTGACACGCCGGATAGATAAGCCACTCGGACCTTTGCCCCAATACCTCCCTGTGCCGAGGGACGCTCGGCCCCGCCTCCAGCAAACACTCCTGAGGTTTGCTCCTTCCCTTTGCAAGCACTGAACCAAACATCATTCTTACACAGAAAGGAGGGAAAGAAACCACTAGTTCCCCCCTGCTATGGCCAACCTGTGTGAGAGCGTATTCCTCCCCATCGGCCTTGTGAACTATAGTTTTCTCTCTTGTCCAGAGGAGGAAATGGTGCCTACAAAATACTAAGTTATGTGGCCAAGGTCCCAGCTCAGAAACGGTTGGCTCTGGATTCCTGCCCCGATGTCTCTCACTCTACACTTCAGACAGTTCCTCTGACTTTGAAGAGAAGGGCAGTGCACCCTCTGCCCTTAGGGGAAGTTTACAAATCAGTGCCCACTCCCGGGCAGCGTGTTTCTCTCACTCCATGTGGGACTCTGCAGTAAGATTAGAATGCCACAGAACTGAGAGGAGGCGGGAGCAATGAGCGAATAGCAGCGTGCAGTGGATGGGCAGAGGTGGAGGTCCAGGGTGACTCCTCACCCCTGGGGAGCAGTGGGCAGCTGGCACTTCACCCACTGCAGGGGGAGGGGCAAGAAGTGCCTGCTGAGGCCACCCCGACAGCATCCATGCTCTGATGCTTCAGCACTGCCTTTTCCCTCACTGAAACCCGCCATTTGCAGGTGCCCATCTGGCATGGCTAAACAGAAACCTATTTTTTAAAAGTAGATTTCTCTTGCCCTGGCCAGTGTGGCTCAGTGATAGAGCATCGGTCCTCACAGGGTTGTGGGTTCCATTCCCAGTCAAAGGCATGTGCCAGAGTTGTTCCAGGGCTGGTCGGAGTGCGAGTGGGAGGCAACCAAATCAAGGTGTCTCTCACATCACTCCCCCCCCCCTCTCTCTCTCCTCTCTCTTTCTCTCTCTCTCTCTCTCCCTTCTTCCATTCATTTCCCCCTAAAAAATTAATGGAAAAAATATCCTCAGGTGAGGATTAACAAAAATAAAAAATAAAAGTAGGTTTCTCATTACTTCTAAAATAAAATTTGTTTCTTTTCTGACTTTGAAAGCAGTACATATATTTTTTAGAGGATCATCTAGAAACTGAAGGTGAAAATAAAGTCAACTTGTAACACTACCATTCTGGGAAAAATCCCTGGTGACAGTATACTGAAGAGACAGGCAAGATTTTCCAACATCAAGCAGGCTTCAAAAGGTGGCAAGCGACCAGCCAAGAGTCCGATTACTCCTGACTTCAGCAGCAACACGTGCTGGCCTGGCAGGATGTGGTTACTCGGACTCACCACAGGCCCTCCCAGGTGGCTGACACCTGCTGGTTCCATACTGGTGGTTTCGGCCTAATTGCTTATTTAGCTCAAGTGAGAGGCAATTTCATACTTGAATTTGAATGACTTCCCGTTGGACTTGAGCATGGTCCCAGGGAAGGTGTAAGAAGAGGAGGACATGAAATAATTCTCTTAATTTTTTTTTTTTTTTAAGAATTGATTTCAGAGGGGGAGAGGGAGAGAGAGATAGAAACGTCAATGATGCCCTAACTGACTTGGCTCAGTGGATAGAGCGTCGGCCTGTGGAGTGAAGGGTCCCAGGTTCAATTCCAGTCAAGGACATATGTACTTTGGTTGCAGGCACATCCCCAGTAGAGGGTGTCCAGGAGGCAGCTGATCGATGTTTCTCTCATTGATGTTTCTAACTCTCTATCCCCCTCCCTTCTTCTTTGTAAAAAATCGATAAAATATATTTTAAAAAGAAAGAAAGAAAGATCAATGATGAGAGAGAATCACTAATTGGCTGCCTCCTACAGGCCTCCTCTGGGGATCAAGCCAGAAACCTGGAATCAAACAGGAATCAAGCTGTGACCACAGCCAGGCGAGCAAATCCTCTTGAGATCATTTTCCGAGAAGAGACGAGGCCTTGTCCAAAGCGTTTAGGACAAACTCCTGGCCCCGTGTGCAGAGAGCCCTCCCCACCCCCTTTCTGCCCTGGGAGCCCCATACCTTGTTTCCACTGGTTCTGGATTTTCTGGCGGTAGACGGTGTAGCACCGGTCCAAGGCCCGAATGTAGCACTGGATGGAGAGCTTCCCGTCCACCAGTGGGTATTCCGAAGCCCCATCTGGTTTGTAGAAATCGTACACGTTCTCCATGTGGGTTCCCCGAAGCCCTGGCAAGACACACACCGGGACTCAGTGACTGCACAGAGCAGCCCGCAGGGAGCAGAGAGGATGGAGAACTCTTACAGCCTCCTGGTCTCCATGTGTCTCAGGCCCACTCAACATCCCTCACGTGTTCAAAGCAGTAGAATATTCTGTTGCTCTTACATAAGTGAGATTCACGCTCTTACATAAGTGAGATTCACGCTTCCCTTCCCATGCCTCTATGGGCTTAACAAAACCCGGAGTAGATGCCAAAAGTCTCAAAGGAAAGCCTTACTTTCCACCCAATAATCATCTTTCATCTTCAATGACCAGCTTATACCCTTATTAACAGCATCACCACCATTCATTGCACGCATCATGTGTGATGGTGCAAAAGATGAAACCCTCCTGGTCCCTCTCATCCCTTTCTCCCTGCCCTCTGCTCCCCAGACCCCCTTTAGACAGCAAGTGGCATCCTCAAATCTACCCATCGGCCCTGTCCAGTGGGCCCGCCAGGAGCTATGCATCCAGCCGTGCCCTGCACCGTGTGTGGGTACCACGCATCTGCAGGTTGCTATTGATACAAACCTCTCTCAAGCACCAAGGGGGCCTCGGGCCCAATCAGCATGGCCACGGCTCCGGCGCCCCCTGTGGGGCGGGCGTTGCCACTGGGATACACCGCGATGTCTCCACAGACCACCATTGCATAGCGCCCTGTAGTGAGAGACCAGAAATGAGTGTCATCACCATCAAGTCTCGGTAGACGGAGCGCCTCCCGTGTGCCAGCACGATTTTAGGCGTTGGGGATAGGCTGGCAGACAAAACCAGAAATCCCCGCCCCTGGGAGCTTGCGTTCTGTGAAACCCATCGTGACACATTGGAAATGCAAAGTCAAAACTCAGTCTCCAGATGTTCTCGCTGTGAAATGCTGAGTTATTCAGAATTCTGTCCCTGAATTCAATGAGCAATTTATTAATTGGCACTTTAAAAAATATATTAATATATTGTATTGATTTTTTATAGAGAGGGATAAAGAGCTAGAAACATTGATCAGCTGCCTCTTGTACACCCCTCTTCCCCCCAGAGATGTGCCTGTAACCAAGGTACATGCCCTTGACCAGAATCGAACCTGGGACCTTTCAGTCCCCAGGCCGACGCTCTAACCACTGAGCAAAACCGGTTTCGGCTTAATTGGCACTTTTGGAGGTCATTGAGCTTGGTCCCCGTCCCCTTCAGCACTCTGTGGCTGAAATTCCTTCCCATAGAGTCAAGGGGTAGGAAGGGAAACTAACATCGGAAAGACTAGCTAGACATCAGTCATCCTCAAAGAACCCTGAAAGCCATCGATGAGGCAGAGAGCATCTACACGCACAGAGGCAGACACTGCCTTCCAGAGAGACCAAGTAACCTGCTAAGGTCTCACCCCTAGTGAACATGGCATTGGATATTCCAGCCCGGTTCTGTCTGGATCCTAAGCCATGTGCTCTGAATGACTTGGAAGTATTTTTATTGGGAAAGGGGGTTATGCTGAGGAACCATATTCAGTGTAGATGATCATAGTGACTGCCTCTATATAGTGACTGTTACTCAGCGAATAATTGTTGTCTTGATTATTATTTGTTCCACTTTCATCTGATAGTACTGCTCCCTTTCCCACCCCAAAAAGCACACCAGACTTGAGCCTCAGGGGACACGTGGCAGTGATTTTAGCATTCTATCTGCCCCGTAGGAAGCCCCTTGGATTTATTCCAGGGCTGGATAGTTGGGGCCTGAAGCACTGTCCAGAGCCACACCGCTAACAGAGGGCACAATGAGGATGCAGTGAGGGTTCAACCCAAATTCACTGAAACCTGAGAGCCTTCTCTTAAGAACCATAACAACGCCAACTCTGATCCCCACAAAAAATTATTTACCCTAAATATTTATATATCTATTTCTATATCATTGTCTCTATCTCTATATCTATCTATCATCTATCTATCTGTCTATCTATCTTCTATCTATCTACCATAAATATCATCTATATATTTATCACTCTATCATCTATCTGTATTTAGAAGCCATTAAGGAAAAAAAAATCAGTAAATCTGACCATGTAAACATTAACATCTTCAATCAGAAACGAACTCAAAAGACAAACTGGGGAAGTATTTACAATACTTATAACCAACAAGAGACTATTTTTCTTCTTTTGTAAAGTCTCATAAAAAAGACAAAGAATATAATAGGGCCAATAAATACAAAAAAAATTTAAGTTCTCATAATGAAAAAAAGGCAAATCAATGACACTATTATTTTACTTATAATATTGGCAAAGATTAGAAAAGTCAATAATATGTATTGTAGAAATGTACTTTAGTACGACATTTTGAAGAGCAGTTGGGCACATTCTATTAATCTCTTAAACCAACACGACATAGCATAACCTGCAATTTCATGTCTGGAAATCTGGTCTTACCACACATTATCACAAGCATGCAAAACTTGCACAACACTCATGAAAACAGGATCGATAATTGCACAAAACTTGCAACAAAATATCTGTCAACATGGGCTAATTCAGTAAAGTTTGGCACTTTGATGAATAGCATGTTATGTAGCTTTTAAAAGGGCAGAGCCGACCTTATTTATATTGATATAGAATGGTCCTGAGGACATCATAGAGATGGGGACATCATAGAGATCATCATAGAGATGTTATACATGACATATGTATAATGTTGAAAACAAAAACCGAGTAGATAAGTTGTACTTGCAGGGACATAGGAAAAACCTGGAAGAATTCACAGAAACTGTTAAATTCTGGAAAGCGGTAATAAGGCTTCAGAGGGAACTTTTTTTTTTTTAATCACTTTACACATTTTTTGTGTCTGTGTAATTATATATATATATATGTGTGTATATATATATATATATATATATATATATATATATATATATATATCTTTATTGATTTCAGAAAGGAAGGGAGAGGGAAAGAGAGACAGAAACATCAATGATGAGAGAGAATCATCGATTGGCTGCCTTCTGCATGTCCCCCACTGGGGATCAAGCCTGCAACCCCAGGCATGTGCCCTTTGATCGGAATCAAACCTGGGACTCTTCAGTCCAGAGGCTGATGCTCTATCCACTGAGCCAAACCAGCCAGGTCTATGTGTAATTTTTTTTTAAAGTATAATTTTCAGTTACTTTCATAAAAAATACAAGAAGCCTGTCTGGCATTGACCTATGAACCAGGAGGTCATGGTTTGATTCTGAGTTTGGGCACATGTCCAGGTTGCAGACTGGATCACGTGTGGAGCATGCAGGAGGCAGGCGATCAATGATACTCTCTCATCCTTTGTTTCTATCTCTCCCTCCTCTCTGAAATCAATAAAAACATATTTCAAACAAACAAACAAAAGCCCTGAGTGCTCAGCCTCCAGCGGCCGCTCCCCGCTTACATAAGACTCTGGCAGCACCTACCGTCCCAGGAGCTGGACTCCATCCAGTTGGCCGCGTTGAAGAGGGAGGCGGTGCCCCCGTAGCAGGCGTTGGTGGTGTCGATGCCCTCGATGTCCGTGTTGCCCGAGTCCTGGAAGAGCTCCATGAGCACGGTCTTGACGGCCTTGGACTTGTCGATGATGGTCTCGGTGCCCACCTCCAGCCGGCCCACCGCGTCCCAGGGCAGCTTGGTGCGCTCCATCAGCTGCTGCACCACCGTCAGGCACAGCGAGTTGATGTCCTCCTTGACGGAGCAGAAGCCCATGCGGGTCTGGCCCAGGCCCACCGTGTACCGCCCCGCCTCCACGTTGTTAAACTTCTCCAGGTCGGTCTGGTCCACGTACTGGGCTGGGAAGTACACCTCCAGGGCCAGGATGCCCACATCCTTGGGCCACGTATTCGTTTTGGCCAAGGGGACGGCGGGGAAGGTGGAAAACCTGCAGGGGAAACAACAATCAAAATCCCACCGGTGCTCTCTAGCCGGTTTCCCCCCCCCCCCAAAAAAAAAAACAATACAGCTGTAACCGGTTTAGCTCAGTGGATAGAGCGTCAGCCTGGGGACTGAAAGGTCCCAGGTTCGATTCCGGTCAAGGGCATGTACCTTGGTTGCGGGCACATCCCCAGTAGAAGGAGTGCAAGAGACAGCTGATCGATGATTCTCTCTCATCGATGTTTCTAACTCTCTATCCCTCTCTCTTCCTCTTTGTAAAAAATCAATAAAATATATTTAACCCCCCCCCCCCCCACACACACACACAAAGCAATACAGTCCTGGCTGGTGTGGCTCAGTTGGTTGGGCGTCGTCCTGTGCACCAGGAGGTTGCAAGTTCGATTCCCGGTCAAGGGTAGAGGCCAGGGGGGTGGGGGGCGGGGTGGTTGAACAGGGAATGATACTTGGAGTGGAGAGTGAAGGGCGGAGGGAGAGGACGCCTGAGAAAAGGCAGGCGGGGACCAGGAGTTGGTGGGCACATGCCTTTCTCGGTGTTCAAGGCAGCGAAGCGCATCTGAGACGGGAGACGCTCTTTGGCTGCCTTAGAGCCACGCAGGTTGGATTGGGGGAGTGGGGGGGATAGGCAATAGAAAGGAGAGCCCCATAGAGAGGATTCGTAATGCTGTTCAGGCCCTGGACAGTGGGGATTCGCTGTGAAAATACCAACAAGGGAAACGTGGCCGAGGATGCCAAGATCTTGGCCCAAGCACGTCAGGAGGAGGGGCAGGTGGGTGAGGGCCGAGGCTGGCTTCTTGGTGGGTGGCCAAACGCTGCTTATTGAAACAAGCCTGCCCACGTCAGTCCCTCCCTGGCAAACACCAAAACAGGTGACTTTCTGAGCGTTCTGAGCTGGGACATTGGACCTGTACACGGGGCTGGGGCGGGGTGGGGGGGTGGGGGGGAAGGGGGATGGGGAAGAGTGTGGACGATGGTGGAGAGTCCAAAAGAAAATAGGAAGGCTAGAGCGTGTCCCCTGCCCGCCCCCCACCCCACACCCATCCTCCCAGGCTCCCCGGGTGCCAGGCCAGGGGAGGCACCAGACCGAAGTCCTTTCCCGAAGCGCCCGGAGAATGCAGTGAGCAAGTGGCAGGAGAGAAGGGGCTATTTCCAGGGTGCAGGGTGGCTTCGGGGTCCGGGGGGCACTGGCTGCCGCTGTGTTACCATCCATGCTGGGGGACTTGGGCCAGACTGAGCGAGTTCACAAAGAAAAGGAGAGAAGCATAGGAGCTTCTGCGCACACGCAGACTGCACACACACACACACACACACATGCACACACATGCATGCACATACGCATGCACAGGCACACACACACATTTACATCCCCTTTGCCCTTTCATGCAATCAGAGGGCAGAGAAAGGCACCTGTTCCACTCAGTCCCTTTGAACCTTGCTGCAGGGACTGGGAGCAGCCAGGTTTGCTAACACTGCTGCTGGCACAGACCCTGAAGACCTTGCCAGGGGCTGTGGGCAAAGGTGGGGACGGTGGCCCTCGCCGGTTTGGCTCAGGCGACAGAGCGTCGACCTGCAGCCTGGAGGGTCCAGGTTTGATTCCGGTCAAGGGCACGCACCGTGGTTGCAGGCTCCATCCCTGGCCCCGGCTGGGGGCGTGTGCGGGAAGCAACCAATCAGTGTGTCTCTGTCACATCATCAATGTTCCCCTCTCTCTCGCTCTCCTTTCTACTCGCTCTAAAAATCAGTTGGAAAACTATTCTTGGGTGAGGGTTAACAACAACAAGGTGGGTGCGGTGGGGAGAGAATGCTGTGGGCCCCGGTGCTGGGGTGTGACAGACGCCCTCATTCACAAACAGCAGGTGTCAGGGTTGGAGACCCTGAGACTCCTGCAGGGAGGGGCTGCCCCTTCAGAGATGAGGCACCTCAGACCCCAGGGGTTCACTTGCGTGGCTAGGGCTGTGCACGAGCCCTGCCAGCCTCTGACTTGGGCTCTGTGAGCTTTTCCTTGTGGCGGGCCCTCTGCCTGCCTCCCTCCCTCCCCCGGGAGCGAGCTGGACAGCCCCCGGAGCCGGGGACTCACCTGTGATGCGCGGCCGGGAGAAGGTGGGCAGGCACGGCAGGTGCTCCCTGGAGCACCCTCGTCAGTTGCAAGACCCGCTTGGCGGGCGTCGCCAGCCGCTGCATTTTCAGAGGCGCGAGCAGAGAGCCAGCAGTTCACAGCCACTCCTCACCGCCAGTGCCAGTCCCGGGGCGAGGTGCCCCGTCCGGCTTTATAGAGCCCCAGACCGCTGCCCCCGGAGGGCACGCCCCTGCGTATCAGGGCTCCGCTGGCTGCCTGCACTGGGCCAAAGGTCTCGGGCTGCAGCGAGTCAGAGGAAAACACCCTCCCACACGCAGGGAGTCGTCCCGCTGCGGGGCATGGGCAGGGGAGGGGAGGCAGCTCCGAGCTCTCCTTCCTCGGGCTCCGGGGCAGCCTGATGGGTGCCCAGCCGCCTCGCAGGGCCTGATGCTCCTGGTACCGCGTCCTGGGGTGACCACCTGGCCTGTCTCGGACCCTGGCTCCTCCTCTGAGTCCCTCTCACTTGGGGGCCCAGAATGCTCGCTGTGGGGTGAGCTGTTATTATTTGAATGTACATACTATGCATAATAAGAAAAACAACTTTCAAAGCCAAAAGGAATGAATCTTTTCATAGGAGCCCTTTGTGTAGGTGCCAGTGGGTGTTGGCACATAGAGGGCTGGCATCAGCAAGAGTGTGGAGCCCGCTCAATTTTTCCTTTTTTTTTTTTTTAATCCTCACATGAGGAGATGCTTTTATTAATTAATTTTTTTATTGATTATGGTATCATATAATTGTCCTCATTCCCCCATTCCCATCCCCCCCCCCCCCATGCATGCCCACTGGTTAGGCTTTATGCCTGCACACAAGTCCATGGCCACTGGTTAGGCTTTATGCCTGCACACAAGTCCTTTGGTTGATCTCTCCCCCTTACCCCCACTCTCCCCTATCTTTCCTTATTTTTATTTTTATTGACTTTGGAGAAAGGAATGGAGAGGAAGAGAGAGAGAAACGTCCATGTGAGAGAGAAACACTCATCACCCCAGCTGGGGATCAAATCTGTAAGCTAGGCGTGTGTGCCTGTATCTGAGCTGCTGAACGTGGCTGAGGAAAAACACCACCATGTACTGACTGATTCACACCGCCACGTACCACACACTGCGGGGGATTTTGGGGGGGTAGGCAGCAGGCCTGGCTCTCACCGCTGCACCCCCAGATCTGGCTCTTTCCTGCACTCACTTGCAGATTCTGCTGTGGGAGGGAAGCGCTGACGGTGCTGGGGTCTGGTTAGTGGTTAACCAATCTCTCACTTGGCAGGACTTGCCTTTTGTGATTGCCTGGGGGGACACTCAGACCCACCGTTTGGTGAGGGAGGAGTCTGAGGCTTGCAGGTGATCTGATTCGATTGTTATCTAATTAAGTGAAAGGTCCTGAGAGAAGTAGGGGAAAGGGTGCGGAGTCTGACTGAATGTCTCAGAACAACACGGAGCAGTGGGCGTGTTGCTGTCTCTCCGTTTCCACCAGCCCAGGTGTGGCCTGTGCTGATGATAGCACGCGGGGAACAAAGCTTAGCAAGACGAGGTGAGAGCCACAGAGGGAGGGTGCAGCATCTGCACAGGGAACACACAGTGCGCTCACAGTCGCCTGTGATTCTCAAGGAACCAGCCTGGCATCTCCTGGCATCCCTTCCCTGGCAGTTACAGTCTGCGTTCACCTCCGCGCACAATTAAACCGTTGGAAACACAGTATGTGTTCACGGTCATCTTCTGTCAATAGCAAAGAGTGAGCCACAAGGTAAACAATTTACATAAGCAACCGCCTTTGTTTTTTTTGTTTTTTTGGTTTTTTTTTTTTGAGGTCTCAGAATTTTGTTGGCATCCTTATAATTTGCATAGTATTTTTTATTATGCCAACCCTTTTTTTTTTTTTTTTTTTTAACTTGGCACTAGGGCTATTTGAATACTTCTTCCCAAATCAACCCGGAAAGCACTAGAAAAATAAGTAAAACATGAATGGGAAGCATTTTTGTTTTAAAAGTTGTGAGAAATCCCCGAGGAGTCTGAAGGATGCCCTAGATGGGGATGGGACAGGGGCAGGGATGAGGCTGGAAGGGGGGTGGAGGATGGCTGGAGGGGGCAGTGGGAGGAGGGACATTGTAAAAGCCCTGCCCTGGTGCCCAGTGCATGCACTGACTTGCAGATTGACCAACCACACTCTGCCGATCCCTGTAACCAATCTCCATTCTCAACCCTCGCTCCCCCATGGATGGCCCAGCAATATTCTCCTGGTGCCGTGTTCTCCTAGCAGTTTAAATGTGAAGCCTTGGTCAGGGGTGTCTCCTGGTGATGTAGCGGCAAACAGGGATGGTCCACAGGGTATAGGCAATGTCTGAGGCTCTCCCTGAGGACCCTCCCCTGAAATACACTCCTACCAGGACCAGGCCTTCAGCGCTTACCCAACACACAGCACCAGAGAGTGTCCCACCCCTCCCCAACAAGACTGCGGGCGCCGACATAACAATACTCTGAAGACTGCAAAAGGAAGAGAGCACACGGAAGGACACACACCACAGGAAACAGAATTTCTGGAAACAGACAGACCAAGTATTAAAAGAACCCTTCTGTGTGTCTGAGGAAGGAAAGGGAGATTTCATACTGGAAGGCACTACTAAGAAACGAGGAGGGGAAGAATGATTTTCCCTTTCCCTTCTAGGTCCTTGGCTGAGACCTCCTTATAATATAAGACAGATAAACAAGAGAAAAGCAAACACGTTTAATAACATGCAAGCCTCCTGTGTCTTACAGAAGACACAACCAGGAATGGCTGCCAAGCTGGGGTGAGGGAGGGAGCTGGAGTGGAAGAACAGAGAATGAGAGACACATAAACTTTACATCCATAGCTACATAACTTGTAGGACAGTGGCATTCACGTAGACTTTGGAGTCCGCCATTTCCTACCTGGATGCACTGAACGAATCGTTTAGAATTTCTTAGAATCGGCTTCCTCACTTAGAGTATCATCGGATTATGGTGGTGAGGGGGGATGAGGCAGGTCTGGCACCGAACACAGCGCCTTGAACACCGTAAGTGTTCAGTAAATGAACGCCGAGCACTGGGGAGGCGTGAGGAGACGAACCAGCATCTACAGGCTGAAGAGGACCCAACTTCCTCCCGCTTCCTCCCACTGCCCACAGCCCTTCCTCTACACGGGACCCCTGCCTCTCATTTGAGGCGCACTAGCTGGACCTGAGAATTCAAGGGAGGGTCTGCTGTGTGAACGCTGTCAGCCTTTCATGAGGAAAGAAAAATAATAATTGGCTGCTAAGGAAGGGATTTGGGCCCAGCTGGCGTGGCTCAGTGGTTGAGCGTTGATCTGTGAACCAGGAGGTCATGGTTTGATTCCCGGTGAGGGCACATGCCTGGATTGCAGGCTCCATCCCCAGTGCGGGGTGTCCAGGAGGCAGCAGATTAATGATTCTCTCTCATCATTGATGTTTCTCTCTCTCTCCCTTCCTCTCTGAACTTGGAAGCCCGAAACTTTGCTAGCTTCAAGATTTAGGTCACCACATCACCAGGGGAATTGCAATAGCCTGCAGGTGAATTGCAATAGTCTGGCTTTTGGCTCAGATCAGAGGCAGAACAAATTTCCTCTTGTACCGACTGGGAAACTCTTTTGTGTGTGTTTGGTTATGGGGAGGAGGATCTAGAGGAAAAGTCGGGTAATAATCCTACAGAGTAAACAGGATCGGAACAACAAACCGGAGATCTTCCAGTGCACGGGTTGGCGCTCAACCAACTGAGCCATGCCAGCCAGGGCTCTGAGATTGTTTTTAATTATAAAAGGAAGGTAGACTTTGCCAAATGCTTAAAAAAAAAAAAAGAAAGAAAGAAAGAAAGAAAGAAAGAAAGAAAGAAAGAAAGAAAGAAAGAAAAAAAAAAAAAAAAAAAAAAAGCCAACTGAGATAACCATGTGAGGATTTTCCTTCATTCTATTACTATGACATAGTACACCGACTGATGGATTTTCTTGTGTTGATTCTTGGGATAACCACATGTGGTTTTACCGTAGTTAGCAGTGCTCTCGTGTCTAGTGAGGTTGAATATCGACTCATGTGCCCATTGGCTATTCATGTGTGTGTGTGTTGGTTAAGTGTCAGTTCCCTTCCTTTGCCCATATAAAAAATAACCAAGTTGCCTTCTTATCGAGTTGCAAGTCCTTTCTCAGATCTATGTGGTACAAATATTCTCTCCCATTTTATGACACGTCTTTTAGCTTCCCAGCCATGTATTTTAAGAGCAAACGCTTTTGCCGAGGCCGGTTTGGCTCAATGGATAGAGCGTCAGCTTGGGGACTGAAAGGTCCCGGGTTCGATTCCGGTCAAGGGCATGTACCTTGGTTGCGGGCACATCCCCAGTAGGGGGTGTGCAAGAGGCAGCTGATCGATGACTCTCTCTCATCGATGTTTCTAACTCTCTATCTCTCTCCCTTCCTCTCTGTACAAAAATCAATAAAATATATTTAAAAAAAAAAAAAAAAAAAAAAAAAAAAAAAAAAAAAAAGAGCAAACGCTTTTAATGTTGATGATAATTTATGATTTTTTTTTCCCTTCTGCGGTTTTCGCTTTTTGGGTCCTAGGACATCTAACCCAAGGTCACAAAGATGTCCATCTGTATGATGTCTGGCTTCCTCTGTTTGCCCTCAGCTTCCTCTCCTTTGCCTTCATCCACGCAGTGACCGGGACAACTTCAGGCGGAGTGAGTCTGATGGAAGCATGTGCTAGATTTTTGAATGAGAGCTGGGCAGGCCCCTCCCTCACCATCCTGTCTATGTGGCCTCCCGTGGGCTCACACACGGGCCAGCAGACACACGCACAGTGTTTCCTGGGCTGCTGCCCTCCGATCCCCCGTGGAGGGTGTCAGCTTGTGCCACGGTCAAAAGCAGCTACCATGACAGCTTGTGTGACTCTCAGAAAGGACAGCTGCACATGTAAAGCACCAATGTCAGGCCCCATTCAAAATGCTACCTGTGTCCACCCATTGAACCCTGAGGTTCCCGAGAAAGAAGACCGAGGCTCAGAGGCCTCAGGCCCCATCTCCCCCCGCTGGTTGGAGGCAGTGGCTCAGACCCCGGAGGCCTAATTCCAAGCCCTTTGCTCTTCCTGGTCAAACAAACCGCCTTGGGCCGGTGGCTGGAGCTGCCTTGGGGAGCAACGTCTGTCTGGTTGCTTTCTTTTTTGGCATCAGGTGCCTCTCCAGTCTCGGCTCAGACACTTGAGTCTAAAGTCCTGCTGTGGGGCCTCAGGAGCGAGCTCCCCAAAGGAGGCCCCTGCACCCAGGCGGAGAACCACCTCCCCCGCCCTCAGCCAGCAGGGCCACAGAGGGCCCTGAGCAGGTGCACTGCCCCAGGTACGCCATTAGGGGGCAGCCTGCTCTGGGCCCGGGGCTGTGCCTTCCCAGGGGGGCATCCCTCCTTCACAGGCACCACCTCTGCAGCAGAGGCCTCGGAGGGAAGCGGGCCACACCCCTGGACTCCAGGGGGCCACTTGCAGTACACCTGAGCCAGTAGTCCGCACACCGAGGCTCTCGAGTCACATGCGGCTCTTTGGCCCCTTGAGGGTGGCTCGGCGTTAGAACCACTTCTTCAAAATAGGCTCGCCCAGGCCGACAACCTGCTTCTGTGCACGGGCCACGAAGTTCCAATCGCACTGTACATGGTATTTTATGGAAGAGCCACACGCAAGGGGCCAAAGAGCTGCATGTGGCTCTCGAGCCGCGGTTTGCCCACCACTGACCGGAGCGAAGTTAACCATCCCATTCCATCCTCAGGGCCATAGTGATCGGTCACGAGGGAGCATGGGACTCAAGGTTCTTGGCCAAGGAGGCTGTGACTTGGGGGATGTTGTTGGAGGGCTGTGGCTCTCTCTCCTGACAGGGTGAGGGTCGGAGCTGCCGTAGTCCACCGTGCAGCTAGGTGGGGGGAATAATAAAAGCTTATTCTCAGAAACACAAGGGGGACGGATACGGAGAGAGCCCTGCCCTGGGGGCTGTGTGGAGTCCTGGGGCCAGCTGTGCCTGAAGCCCAGATCGGCCTGTGGGCCCTGGAGTCACATAACCAACATGTTTTCCTTTTTGCTTCAGACAGCCCGGCTGTCTGCTGTGACCAAAAGCTCACAAGCGATCCCTCCTGTCTTCAAACCTGTGTTCCTGTGGCCAGACACCCAGCTCTCTCGCCAGGAGGGACGTGCACCCCTCGTCTGTGCGAGACACGGGGAGGCGGGAGGAGGGCAGAGGAGGGTCATGGACAGCGGTTGTGGGGTGAGCATGCAGCGCTAGAAGTCGTTGTGGTGTCGATGTCGCGGTCTCTGCCTCCAGCAGGGAAAAGCAGTGCAATAAGAACCTCACCAGCCTTGGTTACCACGTTTACTTCCTGAGGCAGTGATCGGACGTAGCCAGCGAGGCAGGGCAAGAAGTGGGGGAGACTGGGGTGTGGGGGAGGGTTTGGGCCGGGGCTGCGGGACCCCGATTCCTGCTCTACGGCCGGTACTTGCAGATGAAGTGCTGGCGCTTGTCGCACTCCTTGCTGTTCCAAGTTAAAAAGTCTGCAAGAGAATGAACAGCCACGTCAGTGCTCTGTGCGGAGCCGAGCAGCGGGTTCTGAGAGCTTTGCTTGGGACCAGAGATAAGGGGGGGACGGGAGGGTGGAGCCTCAGCACTTACTGTGGGCGTTCATCTCCGCACAGGGCTTGTTTCCGGCTCTGGACTTTGCAGACCAGATTTTGAATAAAAATATGGACCCGTCGATCCACTGCCACTGCTGCCTCTGCGGGTGACGGGGGACAGAGGGCATGCAGAGGTTAGTGCCACCCCCACCCCCCGCCCCTCACAGCCTGGGGTCACCCCACCCTCTCACAGACCAGGGGCAGCCCTCGGGCCCCTCTAAAATGCAGTTGTTGTGTTGGTTTTAAATATATTTTTATTGATTTCAGAGAGGAAGGGAGAGGGAGAGAGAGATAAAACATCACTGATGAGAGAGAATCTTTGATAGGCTGCCTCCTGCACACCCCCCACTGGGGATTGAGCCCACAACCCAGGCATGTGCCCTTGACCAGAATCAAACCAGTGACCTCCTGGTTTGTAGGTCAACACTCAACACACTGGCTGGGTTAAAAATGCAGTTTTTATTTTTATTTTAAAAAGTGGGAAAGCACAGGCACGTGTGAAAAAGGCAGCATTGAAAGTCGCTCCGTAAACATTACTCATCTCTTAGCGTATTCATTTCTGGTGTAAACGTTTTTATCTATCACAATATGTTTGTGAACTACAAAAAAGTGGTGATCTTTAAAATATACGCCCAACTTTGTATCTTGCTTCCAAAACATTTTTTAATGGTAAATCTGTACCATAATTTACCTAAATAATTCCCCTAATTTTTGAAGTTTATATTGTTTTCAATTTACAATGATTATAAATAATTTTGCTTTAACTTTGTTCAGAAGGCTGTCTCTAGACTTAAAATTATTTTCTTGGAATAGAATCCCAGAAATAGAATGAATGGCCACCAGGCATGACTAGTTCAAGGGGACTGATATGCATGGCCAACTCCTGTCCAACATGATTCATTTGGAGGAATTTACACCCCCAGGAGTGGGCAATTAGTCCATATCCTTAGAAATATTGAGAAAATATTATCGATTAAGACGAAACCAAAGTTCAATAGCACAATAAGTCAAGTTATGTCCCTTTAATTAGCATTTCTTTGATAACTAGAGACATCAGATACTTTTTAGAACGTCCATCCGCCACTTTCTTTAGTCACCCATGTAAAAAAAATAATGAATTGCAAAACCTATCTAGTGGAACTAGATTAAATATTTATTTTACCTCTGGATGAGAACTCTGGTTGGGAGCAGTGTGAATCCATAAAAATGGAAAACTAATTGTAAAGAATGTGTGTGACATCTATGGTAAAGTTTTACCAAGGAACTGTCTGGGTGTCTGCCCCCGTGTTCCTTACGCTAGTCCGGGTTGACTATAGACGCCCCACGGGCAACCTGCTCACGGCAGATCCCACAGAGACCTCAGCCCCAAGACCTCACAGGCTCCCTACAAGGAGGTGCTGACGAGAGGAAAATGAGGGTCTGGTGCAAAAGGTTACAGGTTAAGGAATCATCAAAAGCATGAGAGCGTGGGCTCTGGCCAGGTAGCTGCTCAGTTGCTTACTAAGCCTTAGAGCATTGTTCTGGTATGCCAAGGAGGTCAGTACCGTCTCCAGTCAGGAATGTACAAGAAATAACCAATGAGTGCACAGATAAGTGGAATAACAAATATCTATCTATCTCTCTCTCTCTCTCTCTCTCTCTCTCTCTCTCTCTCTCTCTCCTTCCCTCCCCCCAAACACCCCCCATTCTCATCAATAAAATATAAAAATTTAAAAAACATAATGGCATCTAGGAGAAAGCTTAGCTAAAAACTTCCAACTTTAGTCAAAACTGGTTTGGCTTAGTGGATAGAACATCGGTCTGTAGACTGAAAGGTCCCAGGTTCAATTTCGGTCAAAGGCATGTACCTTGGTTGGGGATGTGCAGGAGGCAGCTGATCGATGATGCTCTCTCATCAATATTTCTAACTCTCTATCCCTCTCTCTTCCTCTCTGTAAAAAATCAAAAAAAATATTTAAAGAAAAAAAAAAAAAAAGCTTCCAACTTTAAGCCAAGACCCAATGGAAATTTAATTTAGCTAGATGCCATACCAGGTGTGTATGTGTGTGTGTGTGTGTGTGTGTGTGTGTGTGTGTGTTTGCACAAACATTTTTTTTTTAAAGCTGGTAATTTTGCGCTCTAAGATTGGGGAGGACTTTCCTTAGAACCCGACCCTGTCCTGGAGGCTTTGGGCCATTTCCGTTGGAGGCACATGATTGGAGCTCCGCTCTGTGTGCCCCTCGCCAGGGGGCCTGGTGGCCAGTTCCAGGGCAGGGCTCGCTCTCTGGTTTTCCCGGGGCCTTTGTGGGCGTCTGGGGACCACGTCCGAGTTTACCTTCTGTGGGTCGTGCAGGCCGATCCACACGGGCTGGTTCTTTTGGTAGCCACCTATGTACTGGGAGATGGCCTTGGCTTCCTGGAGGTTCTGTATGGACGCCAGATGGGCTCCGTTTCCAAAGGACTGGCACTCGAGCTGTGGGCAACGGGAAGTCGGGGTGAGGCCTTGAGGTTTAAAAGCAGAGCCCTCGCCTGTGCCAGGCAGCGGGGACTCTCATAGCCCCACAGCCTCTGGAAGTCATCATCTAACCCCCACCGAGGGCTTCCTGGCCTTCCTGTCACCAACGGAGGGGACCAGTGCCGGGTCTTGGAGGACGAGGCGGCTCCAGGCAGGAGCCTGGCTGTGGGGCCCGTGGAAGTGCCTGGGTCCTGGTCCTGCCTCTCATTAGTGTATATGACCCGGACAAGTCACTGCACCTCTCTGAGCTCACTTACTTTCGTTATCTGAAAACGGAGAAGATAATGACCACGACCCAGGGAGTTGTCAGGAGGATACGTTTGTTATAATTATCCTATATGATAAAAGGCTAATATGCAAATCGACAAAACAGTGGGACAACCGGTGATGCGCACTGACCACCAGGGGGCAGAGGCTCAATGCAGAAGCTGCCCCCGTGTGGTCAGTGAGCCAGAAGCCAGGCTCACCGCTGGCGAGCACAGCGGTGGTCCTGCCACCTCAGCAGCACCACTGGGAGCGGGCCTAAGCTGTCAGTCAGACATCCCCCGAGGGGACTTCTCGGGATGCCCAGCAAGGACCCTTGATTCAGAGTCAAAGGAGGTCTGGAGCTCAGGGTATCCACACCCCCGCCCACCCCCGACTGTGGACAAGCTTGTCTTACCTCAGCATCGGACCAGCTCCTCAGCTTCCGAAAGTACCCGTAGCAATGGGACTTGTGGTAAAACCAGCCGGTAGCACAGCTGGGCCTCATGATGATGTCTGCACGGAAGCACAAGGCAGCGACAAGCTGTGACGGCACAAGCCAGCCATGTCCACCCTCGATCCCGTGACAGACCTGGCGTCCCTGCGATGGGAGGGAGGCTCGGACCCTCCTACGCCGCGAATACTTTAGCCCAGTGGTCAGCAAACTCGTTAGCCAACAGAGCCAAATAGCAACAGTTCAACGATTGACATTTCTTTTGAGAGCCGGAAACCGACTTCTGTGCGTGGGCCATGAAGGTTCAATCGCACCGTACGTGCAGGCCCGCAAGTGGTATCTTGTGGAAGAGCCACACTCAAGGGGCCAAAGAGCTGCATATGGCTCGTGAGCTGCAGTTTGCCGACCACTGTTCTACACCGTGCGTCCTTCCAGCTTTTCCCAGGGGGACGATGGCCTCCTACCAGGATGGCTGTGCACTGGGGAATAGGACGAATCCATTCTTGGAGGACACCAATTCCGGGAGAACCAGTGTCGCTGCCCTCCACCAGCCAGCGGAGGGGCAAGGGAGTCAGGTGACCAGCGGAGTTTGGCTCCTGTCCCTCTCACAGCCGGCCCAGTGGGTGCCCACCCCATCTGGGGGCGATTTCCCATCAAACAATGCAAAGGGTGGAACCCCCACGTTGGTACTGAGATCCAACAGGTATAGGTGAAGGCACCCCAGGAGAAGGCGAGGGCTCACACTGGCAGCTTCAGGCATGACAAGGAGGACGCGGTTTTTGTCCAGGAAGACATGGGACAGGCTGGTGGCAGCTGGGCCGAGACAAGCTGGGTGGCGAGACAGTGGCCCGGGGAGGGGACATGTTAGGCAGAGGGGGTGAGTGAGCAGAGGAGTGGAGGCAGAATGGCAAGGACAGGTACGATGCCTGAAGGGTAGGGTATCCGTCAGGCAGGCGTGGGAGAAAGGGAGGGAGGGAGGGAGAAAAGGAAAAAGGGAGGGAGGGTCGGGCCCAGGAGCCAAGGAAGCATGACCCAGAGCAGCAAACTTTCCCTGTAGGGCGATTGGTGAATGGGCTTCCTCCTTTAATCACCAGACAGGCTGAGAGACAGAAATGTCCATCCCACTGTACAGATAGAACCTTCTTGCCGAAACCGGTTTGGCTCAGTGGATAGAGCTTCGGTCTGAGGACTGAAGGGTCCCAGGTTCGATTCCGGTCAAGGGCATGTACCTTGGTTGCGGGCACATCCCCAGTAGGGGGTGTGCAAGAGGCAGCTGATGGTTGATTCTCTCTCATCGACGTTTCTAACTCTCTATCCCTCTCCCTTCCTCTCTGTGGAAAACCAATAAAATATATTAAAAAACAAACAAACAAAACCACACAAAAAAACCTTCTCAAAGAGGTGAAGTGGCCTGCTGAGGTCACACAGATAGAGATGAGTCAGGACCTGGGGGAAGGCAAGTGTTCCTAGCAGCATCCCCCCCCCCCCCAACCCCCACCGCAGGCCCCATCTCTCCTGGTGCCAGAGCTCCTGTCACTGCGTGTTGTGTGTGGTGAGAGCCTTCAGCCGCTGGCGTGTCGCCTGGACGCAGCAGCCTGTTTACCGCCTCCAGATGTAGCCTTGGGAGCGCTCTGTGACCGCGCTTAGCGTTAGTGCAGTGTTTGCACAATGACTGACAATGTGTGCCATTCTTATCGGACTGTTGGGAGGATTCAAGGAGATGCTGCAGGGACAGCGGTAAGCCTAGGGCTGGCATGTAGTAATTACTCCGTCACTAGTAGCTACTTAAGTAATTGCAGCAATTAAACGTAGTCATGTTATCATTATAGCCAGGGTAATCCTTTTGAAAACAGTCCCTGGACGGAGTCTTTCACGGTCCACCAGTCCTGTTGCTTTGCTTGTCTCCCTACTCGTGGAGCGCATTGCTTTAGGTGAAAGGCAGCTGAGGGCCGGGACAAGGGAATCACCGCTGAGGCCACTGGGTGATGCTCTTGACCATCAAGTCTCCCTGAGAGAGAAAATGCCCTTCTCAGTCCCACACTCCCCTGAAAAGCAAGATCAGACTCCTCCCACAAGCCACGACACAAAGAAGGCCAGGATGTGTGGTGAGAGCGCTCCCCCAAGACAGCAGAATCAGGAGAAAGTCTGCACAGCTGGGAGCTGGGAGGGAGAGCTGTGGAAAAGGAACGGAAGGGCGGGGGTGAGTGCTCTGCCTTCACCTTCTCTGAGGGAGGAAGCGGAGAGGTTCAGGGAGCCCCCGAGAGGGGGCTTGTTTCCCACGCCCAGCACAGAGCGTGGGCAAACGTCAAGCTGCCTCAGGGAAGCCAGAACCAGAGCAACAGGAACTACCGGTTAGTCTGTTAGTCGGTTAGAAATGGCACAGGAGGCGGCTCTGTGGGAGGGGCCTCTGAGTCTTACACACCCTGGCACGGTCCAGAGTGTCTGAGTGCCCCGGGGTCAGAGCAGCCAGGGGTGGATGGGACAGCTGGTGGCTGGGCCACGGACATCAGCCACGGCCACCAACATGATGCCCCAGAGCCCTGCTTCTCTCTGTGCTTCCTTCCAGTCCTCCCTCCTGCCAGGGTAGTCCCTCTGGGAGTTGTATTCAAGGGCCGCTTTCTCAGCAGAAGTGGGCAGGGCTTGGTTTTCTCACTCACCCCTCCACATACAATGCCCAGCAGGGCCACATGGAATGGTGGGAGCAACCAGGACTGAGCCAGAGCACCCCCTAACCTTCCTGAGAGACCCTGGGCCATGTCTCTGCACCCCTTGGGACTGCATTTTCCTCATCAATAGAACAATGGAGCCTACATTGTGGTTCCTTTCATTTCAGATATTTCATTTCAGATATTCAGACTTCTCTTTAGCTCACTCTTCCCGTTTTCTGCACTGGTGATGGGTTCTAGGGTACTGTTCCTCCCCCCCCCCCCCCCCCCCCCGCTTTGTTAACATGTTACTTTATACTTGGTGCTAGGTCTGTACCCATGTAGGATCCATCTTTCCAACCCAAACTCCCATCTGGTGAAGTATAATAGGAAAGCAAGGCAGAACCCTTGGCAGTTCTGAGTACAGCTCTCATTTACTGAATGCAAGGGGTCAGGTGTTTTAAACACATATCTCTACCCTTCACAAACTTGCAAAATAATTATTATCAAAGTTATTGATGATTTGACAATGGCTCACCATTATACAAGGTTGGGATTCTTGATTCTAAATTCCTGGCATTTATTTATTTATTTATTTATTTATTTATTTAATTTATTTATCACATCGCATTGTCTTTCGTTTTTGTCTTTAGCATCTATTTCCTGAGGTGTCTAGATATTTTGGGGGCAAATGGATCTGCCTGTGCCGTGGGAGTGGCACGAAGCCTGGCCGTGGGCTCTGTTCCAGCCGAGGGCCCGATACTCACCGGCCAGGGCTCCGGTGCCGGCCACCAGCAGGAGCAGCCACACGCTCATCGAGGCCATCCTCCTCTTCCCCGGGGACAGACGAGCTTTTACCGAAAGGATCTCAGAGCCCTGGTCCGAGTTCTCTGCGAGCTCCTAGGTTGACCTAGATCCGCAATCTGAACACATGTGCGCTGGTGAGACGGAGTCAGGAATTCAGGTGCCAAATCACATGTGGAGAACAACAGTATTTTTCTGGCTAAACCAAGATTATACACCAAAGGGCGTCTTCACCTAAATGTTTAGGAGAGTGGGAACACCGAACGTATGAGGTGGTGTTCCTATTTGCCAGGTCTCTGGGCCAGTGTCAGGGACCTAGCTATACTGGGCTGAATGGTTTAAAAGTCCATGTGGAGCGGAAACTGGTTTGGCTCAGTGGATAGAGCGTCGGTCTGCGGACTGGAAGGTCCCAGGTTCGATTCCGGTCAAGGGCATGTACATTGGTTGCGGGCACATCCCCGGTGGGGGGTGTGCAGGAGGCAGCTGGTCGATGTTTCTTTCTCATCGATGTTTCTAGCTCTCTATCCCTCTCCCTTCCTCTCTGTGGAAAATCAATAAAATATATTAAAAAAAAAGAAAAAAAAAGGAAAGTCCACGTGGAGGCATTATTGTGGAGAGCCTGCCTCTGCTATTCTCAAGGGCACCGCCAGAGGGCGTCGCAGGCAAGATTTCTCACAGATGAGGAAGTAATCATGGGCTTGCTGTAGTTACAAGTCAGTCAAATCAAAGCAGTGAATTGTTTGGTGCTAAATTTAAAAGTGAACATATGCTCCTAACACACATATTGTACAGAGGAGGAACCCGGAGGCTGATGGGTCCAAAGTCATTTGCTCATTGTCACACAGCTACAACCAGATTTCCTGGCTCAAGCACAACCCTTTTACACGTCGGTGATGCCCCTTTTAAAAATAAAAGTTTGTTATCTTGTCCCACCACCGAACAGTACACGCTCCATCAATGAAAAACTAGAAAGTGAGAAGTAAACTCCATCTCCCCGAGATAAACACTTTAGGGACTAGCGTCTGGACCCCTTTCCATATACATCTCTCCCGGTATGGGATTTTACACAAATGGAGTCATATAGTCCTGCAACCTGGTTTTGTTTCTTAGAAAGAAGTTGATTGTAATAAATCTTTCCCACTCCTATGGTTTTTATGCAGCTCCGATTCTTTCTTTAGTATAAATTCACATACGCAGGATTCTAGCTACATGGAACGTGGGCATTGCTACATTGACACACTTGGCTCCAATGCCCTCCATTTGGGCTGCGCTGTACACCCCACTAACTGCACCCTCAGTGAATGCCCAATTTGTCTATTGCTTTCTTGCTAATTTTGACATACTAGAGAAGAACCTCATTGTTTTTGCTAGCATTTAAAATATTAGAAGGAAGCCGAGACTGGTTTAGCTCAATGGATAGAGCGTTGGCTTGGGGACTGAAGGATCCCGGGTTCGATTCTGGTCAAGGGCATGTACCTTGGTTGCAGGCATATCACCAGTAGGGGGTGTGCAAGAGGCAGCTGATCGATGACTCATCGATGTTTCTAACTCTCTATCTCTCTCCCTTTCTCTCTGTACAAAATCAATAAAATATATTTGAGAGAATAATAAAAAATAAAATATAAAAGAAAGTGCAGCATCTCTTCATATAGGGATTAGCTTTTACAGTTTCTTTTGTAAAGGTTTGGTTTATAGCTTTGCACATTTCCTATCTGATTATTTATCTTTTTTTCCTGGGAATCTGTGAAGCCTTTTTTTTTTTTTTTTTTTTTGAATAGCTATTGTCTTTCATATATTACTCAAACTATTTCCCATCTTGTCTTTTCTCTTATTTATCTTGTTTGTCATACTGAACATTTCAAAAATTGTTGTATCTACCATCTCCTTTATATCTTTGGAATTTAGATCAGAAAAACTGGCCATCACCACCTGAATACTTACCCACATTCTCTTCTATTTTCATCCATCTGACATTCATTTTAGTGTGAACATGAGATTGGGCCCAAGATTTCCCCCCCAAATAATTATGAAAATGGGCAATTCATTGACTTGCATTAGGATACAGAAATCAGGACACATGTTCTAGCTCTCAAATAATAGATTGCTTACGAGGAAGCATAGAACATGACTTTGAAGTGGAAACTTTCCTGGAAAATCTAAAGATTAGCTCCATATCAGACTCCATATGGACACCTGGACACAAGTAATTCAGAGCAAACAAAAGGATGAAGAATGTGGGGACTGAATGAGCATCCCCTTCCCTTAAATCACTGCACAGCCCTGCAGTCTCTGACAACCTTCCTTCCCAAGTGATGGAGGTATTCTGTCCCGAAATCCCTCTGAAACACAAATAGTAAGAACTCCTCCGTCATGCCAACTGCCTGCAGGGAGGGAGGTACAGCATCTTTCTGAATAATCTACAAATGAACGTTAATGAACTGACATTCATTGCATTCTCACATCTCATCTAATTTAATTCTCATAAGTAGGTGCATTGCAAGTATCTTTAGCTTATTTTACATAGGAGGACACACATTCATTAAGATTAATTTTCTTGGCTCAGTGGTTGAGTATCAACCCAGGTACCAAGAGGCATCGGTTTGATTCCTGGTCAGGGCACATACCTGAGTTTTGAGCTTGATCCCTAGAGAGAGGCATGCAGGAAGGAGGCAGACAATTAATGATGTTTCTCTCTCATCAATATTTCTATCCCTCCATCCCTCTCCCTTCCTCTCTCTCTAAAAATTCTATTTTTAAAAAAGCAACTTTCAAAATAAATAAATAAAAAATAAAAAAAATAAAAAAGCAACTTTCCTGCCCTGACTGGGTGGCTCAGTTGGTTACAGCATCATCCAAAAAGCTGTGGTTTCAATTTCTGGTTGAGGCACCTACCTTGGTTGTGGGTTCAATTTCTGATTGGTTCAGGTATGGGAGGCAACTGATCAATATTTCTCTCTCTTCTCCTCGCCTTCTAAAAAAAATCAATAAATATATCCTTGGGTGAAGATTAAAAAAAAAAAAATCAACTTAAAGTTCCACAGCTGCTAGATTGCAGAGCCATGGTTTATCCTTACACTATTTAAGACCAAGGCCAATGCTCTTCATCACGGGGGAAGAAAGAAAAGAAGCCATTCACATATCAAACAGAACAGCAAGAAGCGTGCCCAAGACCATTCGAGCTGTAACTGATCGTTTCTGCCCAGGGAACAGCTGGCAGAGAGCGGGAGGGTTACCTGGTTGGCATTCAAGGCGCTGAGGACCCGCCTTCTTCAGCCTTCTGAGAGACCCCCGGCGGTGTCTGCCGCTCTTATATCTTCTCCCCTCGGGAATTATATGACTTATATGACGGCTGTTTTAATCATAGAGCAATCACATTGTTTACAAATAATTACCCACCCATAAAACGTCTTATCTGCGGCTGGAGGGCCCCTCTGAGGGATGGCTTCACAAAGGCTGTGAGCTGTGTTTTCAGCAAGCAGAGGGAAGCCTCTCCCAGTCTACACATGGAATCTGTTCTTTACGGCCCACGTTATCGCAACTGCCCTCAGGGACAGCCCGCCCGTCTTCCTCTCCGCGCACTGGCTTTTTCTTCGGTCTCTCTCCTCACGCCTTTGCTGCATTTCCCCGTCATTTCTGTAAAGATGCCCCGCTGCATCTCTGGGGACTCGTGATGTTCGTGCCCTCGCAGAGAGGATCTGCCGTCGGGGCAGGACAGAGGCCACGTCCCCGCGTGGTGAGCTTGAGGAGGACGTGCAGGCTCTCTCTCTGAAGTGCCAACCCCGCCCCTCAACCATTCTGATGATGCTCCGGAGAATTGTCACCAGGGTTGCTCCCTGTGGGTTCTGGTTCAGGTCCTCGTTCGGTTGCCCACACACCGTGTACCACCGGGCACGTTCCCCAACCCCTTTGAAGGCTCAGTTTCCTAACGAACTGCATGTGGTTGATATTAGCGGATTTTGTATATCTATTTTATTGATTTTTTACAAACAGGAAGAGAGAGGGATAGAGAGTTAGAAACATCGATAAGAGAGAATCATCGATCAGCTGCCTCCTGCACACCCCCTACCGGGGATGTGCCTGCAACCAAGGTACATGCCCTTGACCAGAATCGAACCTGGGACCTTTCAGTCCTCAGGCCGACGCTCTATCCACTGAGCCAAGCCAGTTTTGGCGAGTTATATTTTTTACACTTCCTGTTAAACACAAGCCCCCTCCCCTCTGGGCAGCTGAATGGGCACTGTCATTGCTTCACAGCTCAGCAGAGGACAGTGATATGACTCCAAGGCTTTTCCCAAGGCTTTCCAGTTCAAAGCACCGGCCCAGGTGTCGGAGAGGAAAGCTTTGACAAAACGTGTGTTTAGGCCAGTGGTCGGCAAACTCATTAGTCCACAGAGCCAAATATCAACAGTACAATGATTGACATTTTTTTTGGAGAGCCACATTTTTTGAACTTAAACTTCTTCTAACGCCACTTCTTCAAAATAGACTCACCCAGGCCGTGGTATTTTGTGGAAGAGCCACACTCAAGAGGCCGAAGAGCTGCATGTGGCTCTCGAGCCACGGTATGCCGGCCACTGGCTTAGGTAACCCCCTATCCTCCCCCTAGCTCTGCTATCTCCATGCCACTAGATAAGGATTTTAAATCTTGAGATGAGAGAGGAACTAGAGGAGATGAGACAGAAGTAGATGCTCCTAAGAGTTCTTTCCCTGACCCCCCACTAGTTGGCGCCAGAGGTGGGCATTGATGGAACCCATATAAAAGCCTGGGATGCAAGACCAAGGTCACTGGAGAGACATCTGAACTGAAAAGGCCCACTGACTACCTAGTAGAATTATTAAGATATCCTCTACATGTAGACACACAATACATGAAATTTAGAAAAAGAGAATCCTAAAACCACAAACCAGCAACAATGACTAAAAAACAAGAACTGGGATTGCACTGCATTGGGGAAATAAAAACGGAACTCAGAAAACCTTAAATTATCTCTTTTTTGGGGGAGAGGGATATTTGTTGGGAG